GTGTGAGAAGTGGCTCATTATTAATGGGAAATTTGCGGAAAATCAATTAATTATTGAACAGATTAGCGAATACCAGGTATGATGTTACTATTATTAGTAACAGTTACTATTATTAGTGACATTGAAGATAATTTCTTTCTTTAGTCTTTTAAAGACGGTCAGTTAGCTGAAGCAGCTGCCATTATGGATAAAGTTAACTCTGTTCAAATGATTGGCAAAGAAGACAAAGTTGATGAATTGAACAAAAGATGGACTGCAATCCAGGAACAACTTAATAACAGGTAATGATTAATAATAATAATGAGTTAATTAACTAATGCCCCGCCCCTTAGATTAGTTAAGTTACAGTCGATATCAGAGACAGTGAGCGAGTTTGACTCTCTAAAGGAGCCACTCGAGACCTGGGTACTAGCTAAACAAGAAGTGATCTCCTCCCTCCCTCTCCTCGATACTGACCTTGAAGAGCTAGAGGGACAGCGTCACCAGCTGGAGGCACTACTTGATGATATACAGTCTCATAAGGACCAGGTGGACAAGATAGACAAACTCTCCGACCAGTTCTCCCAGGATAGAGAGGTAGAGAGGTGTGGTCTTTTGATTATATTTAACTCGTTACCTTCCTTTAGCCTGTGCAAGCAGCTGCTGATAGATTCACTAGAAGACTAAAGAGATTGAGTTCACAGTTCTCCATAACAACATCAAGCGAACTGAGAGAATCCTCAGAAGGAGCTATGGATATGAGTCTTTATGAACAATCAGGAATACTAAAGGACCAGTGGGAGAGGTACTCCACATATCGTCATGTACTGGTTGTACTGTCTCTCTCTTTCAGATATAAGACTCAAGTTGAAGTCCTCGTTCAGCAGGCTACTGATCTTTACGACAGGCTCTTAAAGTTTGAGGAACTTCACAAAACCTTCAGGTCCCTCATTGAAGAGGGAGAACAACTTCTAGAGTCTGAGAAACCGGTCGGTAACACAGCAGAGAGGATAGCCCAACAGACCAATACCTGCCAGGTACTAGGACCTATGTTATTATTATTATTATTATTATTATTATTGTTGTTGTTGTTGTTGTTGTTAAATGCCTGCAGGTGTTTCGTCAGCGACTGTCAGATGCTCAGCCTGAGGTAGATGCAATGCTGTCTCTTGGTCGGTCGATACTTGGAGAGCATTACACCAATCCTCACAATGACTCACTCTCTCAGACTCTGACCCAGTTCATCCAGGACTGGTCTAACCTGCTTATGGCCTGGCAGAACTGGTTTGACGAGTTACACGCGACCGGTGAGCAGTCTCAGAACCTGTCTGACCAGTTTCAGCAGTTGAAGCAGACCCTCGGGGCAGTGGTACCGGAATATGCTGACCTGTTCCCAGCTCACGTCACCATGGAAACACTAGTGACTGATCTGAAGGAATTGCAGGTATGCACTTAATAACTATTAATAACTATTAATAACTACATTTAATAACTATTATTATCACCCAGGAGTCCTTTACTAGCAGTGTTTATGAGCCAATAATGTCAAACAGAGCCATTGTGGTATCTCTATCTAAAAACACTCACCTCCTGAGCAACAAGGAGGAGGTGGACCAGGTCCTCAGAGAATACAATGAACTCACTGATAAAAGTAATACTGTAATTGTTATTATTGTTGTTGTTGTTGTTATTTTTATTATTATTATTTATTTCTTTTAGTTCAGTCACAGCATTCTGAACTCTCTGATCTCATTGATAATGTTAACGGCTGGTGGGCGGAGTTTGAGTCGACTCGTAGCAAAGTATCTGAAATGAGGGAGGGACTGGCAGAGCAGCTACCCCTGGGAGGGAGTTCCTCTTATATCACTAAACAGGACGAGGAAATACGAGTAAATAACCATTAATAACTATTAATAACCATTAATAACTATTAATAACCATTAATAACCATTAATAACCATTAATAACTGTGTATAACTATTAATAACCGTTAATAACCATTAATAACTAGGATATATTCTTGCAAGTTGAGGAGAGGAAGCCACGAGTACAGAGATGTATTCGTAATCTATCATCAGTTTCTGACCACACCTCTTTGATAGAGCCACGTCCACTAATAGTGTGTAGGGAGGAGTTCCAAGAGGAATGGAAAGAACTTTACGAACAAGTAATAACCAACAATAGTATACGTACATGTACATGTTCTTATGTTGTGTAGAAAGTTTGAGCTGATTCCGATCAAAATTGGATTTTTTACAAATTTTTAAAGTTGCTCCAAAATCAGATAAAAGTCCCTGTACTATAGTACAGGGATTTTTGCAAAATTTTGCCAAAAATGAAAAGTAGAGAATTCTCAATTTTTATAACATTCCCTGATACATATACATGTTCTTATGTTGTGTAGAAAGTTTGAGCTGATTCCGATCAAAATTGGATTTTTTATGAATTTTTAAAGTTGCTCCAAAATCAGATAAAAGTCCCTGTACTATAGTACAGGGATTTTTGCAAAATTTTGCCAAAAATGAAAAGTAGAGAATTCTCAATTTTTATAACATTCCCTGATACATATACATGTTCTTATGTTGTGTAGAAAGTTTGAGCTGATTCCGATCAAAATTGGATTTTTTATGAATTTTTAAAGTTGCTCCAAAATCAGATAAAAGTCCCTGTACTATAGTACAGGGATTTTTGCAAAATTTTGCCAAAAATGAAAAGTAGAGAATTCTCAATTTTTATAATATTCCCTGATACATATACATGTTCTTATGTTGTGTAGAAAGTTTGAGCTGATTCCGATCAAAATTGGATTTTTTATGAATTTTTAAAGTTGCTCCAAAATCAGATAAAAGTCCTTGTACTATAGTACATGGTCTCGGGGCAAATTTTGCCAAAAATGAAAAGTAGAGAATTCTCAATTTTTATAACATTTCCTGATACATATACATGTTCTTATGCTCTTGTGTCCTGCAGGTAGAGAAAAGACGTGATCTGGTTGAAGTTGGTCGTGTTCGTCTGTCAGTTTATGTCGAGTGTAGGGACCCTTTTCAATCCTGGCTTGATGAGGCAGAGAAGAAACTGTCGCTATGGAAACGAGTGGACATAGGAGGGAAGGAGTACCTAGTGGAACAGACGGAGAGTTTGAAAGGTTTCAGAACCGACGTAGAACTCCACTCCCACGACCTTCAGTCCTGCACCACACTAGGGGATAAATACCTGGACACTGCTAAGGTATGATATAAGGTTGATCTATAATGTTAGTTAATGTTCACCTGGTGTAGGATCATCAGCGATTGCTGTTATCGTACAAGCTGAAGCTCCACCCAGCTCACACCCAGTCTAGTCTGTTTCCTGAGGGTTTCTACGACTGGGAGGAGGGGGAGGGGCTAAAGACAGTGACATCATCGGTCAACCTATTGAAGAGCGATGAGTATCACAACGGACTCATAGTCATAAGATCAGACATTGCAGCTGCTACCAAGAGATACAATAGATTGAAAAGTATTTGATTTATTCAAAAGATAATGAGCTACTCCTCGTCTTCAGATAGAACCTTCAGGAGGGCCCAGAGGTATGAAGAAGCTAGAGAGAAGAGACTCGCTTGTGAAGAAGCACTGGAAGCCATTGTACCGAAACTAAATGGGGCGGAGTCACTAGTGACCCGTATTAAAGAGGGAGGGGGCATCGGGAGGAAGAGCATGAGGAGTTTAAAGGAACAGCTGGAGATGATGGAGGTGGGCAGAGTCTTTGTTACTATTTTTAGAATTGATACTGTATCTGTTTTTAGAATCTAGAGTCTGAGTTCTCAGAATTACGTTATTTAATGGATCCACTCCACATGTCAGTAGCAGCATGGAGCGTACGGGAACCAACAGATTCAGAGGAGGAGGAAGGAGGCGGGGCCGGAGGAGAGGAAGGGGGCGGGACTGGAGGAGATGAGGACCAGTGCGTCAAAGAGAAGGATATTGTACAGGAACGATATGAACAGGTACAAGAAAACCTGAGACTACTGAGGGAGGAGCTAGAATCATCTCTTGCTGAGTAAGTATAATAATAATAATAATAATAATAAATTAATAATGATAATAATAATAATAATAATAATAATAATAATAATAATAATAATAATAATTAATAAATAATAATAATAATGATAATAATAATAATGAATTACAAAATACACTAAATTTATGAATTACTGTTCATCATCAGTAGCAACAGTGAATTCATCATTTTGATTGTAAGAGCTCTTTTTTATCAGCTGTTGCTCCCAGTTATTTTCTACCACAGTCCGTAAGTTTAGATCAGTATCCCTGACTCTTTTGACATACCAACGAGCAACTAGTATATACAGCACCAGCCCCAGCAATGCAATGACACCAAATGTGATAGTTGTGTAGGACATGAATGATTTGGAGCTGTCGTAGGTAAAACTATAAATTAAGAAAAGTATGATGGTCCCAATATCGTTGAATGCACCATATAAAAACCAGAAGAGCCCAATGATCATTCCATGCATACCAAAAGGAGCTTGACTGCAGAGGAACTCAAATGAACATAGCCAAAGTATAACTAATGAAGTGCCAGCTAGTACTGTGGGTATTAGGAGAATCCAATATGGTACTGAGTCGTCCGACCTGTCTTCAATCGTGAAACTGGATGATACATGTCTTCCTATTAAGTTGATGAGGAATAAGCTTATGATGGATATTGTAAGGAGGACATTGGCCAGCCCAATCCCTCTTAAAGGGTTCATTAAGAAATATTCAAATTTAGGAAAGAGCGGCAGAATGAGTAATTCACATACTGGTATTAGAGCTAGCAAAGCTCCGTATGCGATGAACCAAATTTCATAATGAGCATGTCCTTGGAGACCATTATTTCCATTTTGTAATGGGAGAGAGGCGGAGATTGCGCTAACGAATGAATTGAAGACAATAAAGAAACCAAATGTTGCTGCCAGAACAGCTAGAATACGTAGGAAAGTTTTGACGTTTTCCACTTGCTCATGACTAAAAGGGCCACCATATCTCTCCTTAGCAAGGTCTATTCTACTTGGCTCTTTGCCCCAGTAAGTGAAGGCACTGCGTCGCTGTAGTTTGTTGCGATTCCTTTTAAGGGAAGACTTCAACACTTTGAATACGGTTTTATAAGGATTGGGAATAGGTATGTGCTCAAAACGGTGCTTGAGATGAAACTGAAGACAAAGGGAGAGGGAAAAGAGGGCACAAGCTACCACAGCATTGATCAGTACAAAAGTTTTATAGTTTGCAAAGGAGAAAATGATATTAAGTGGTATGGTATCAAAGAAGAAGTAAACCCAAACTAACCAATGAATGAAACTTCTTATTTTAACACTGGACAGGTGCATCATTTGATCAATACCATATGGCAGGATATTGGTATACATAAATGCCAAAGAGATTATTAAGAATATGCCGGCTAGACTAGAAAGAGTATACCTTCCTATGACAGTGATCCTGTCACATGATTCATAATACTGCAGGCAGCAAGCTAAAGCTTGTAACAGAGAGCCCAGCCAGCCAACCCATAAGCTCAGATACACAGCATTACCACGGCCGATCTTAGTGTCCGACAACCAACCACAGAATGGGATTAGGAGGAAGAGGCTGCTCACTGATAGAACATTCAACGAGTTAATGGTTAGAGGGTCTTCAATGTAGTTTGAGTTTTCACATTCGTTGCGGCCGACAAACCCCGGGATTATGTTGTTTAAGGTCTTGTGGCTCAGAGGTATCGTGGCACTGTAGATCAGGAGGAGGACAGTTGGTACGTTGAGGGAACGTGAACGTAACTCATTCCAGTACCTCTTGAATTTCTTCTTCTTGTCTATAGTATTAGTTGAGGAGCTCCTTTCTGTACTGGTAGAATCCATTCTGTGTCTAGCAGAGCCCTTAAATCATGTGACCTAAATCATGTGACCGACCCATTCACTCTCCAGTTGGTACAGATGAGTATAGATAAGATCTACTCACTTTCTTTATCCGTTGAAAACAACTTATGATTATTGTAACATGAAAATTAATTTGTGACCATCAGATGCATGTACATTTTTGATATTGAATATTTTAAGTATATTTTTTTCACAATTATTTATCATCTCTCAGAGCCCAGGCCTTCCAGTCAGCCTATTCTTCATTTGTGAGCTGGTTAAGAGACACTGAACGCAAGATACAGCGAGACAACAGAATAAAACTGGAAGTGAATGATCTAAAGAGTGGACTAGCCTACCTCAAGGTATTACATACATGTATGTGCATGTACATTGTATTAACATATGTCCTCCAGGCAGTGTCAGCTGATATCAGCGGCCATGAGGAGGGATACAATGACTTGTGCAGCAGGTTCAGTACAGTCCTGGAGATTAAGAGTGGAGGAGAGAGAGAGGAGGACCAAGAGAAACTGGACAATCTCGTGACAAGGTGGATCGGACTACAGGTATGTGGGGGCGTGGTTTAAGGAGAGGGCGGAGTCAAGAGTTAATGATGCCATGAACAGGTTATATCGGAGGATATTGAAGTGATCAGTGAGATCATTCCTCAATTGGAATCATTCTACGTCACTCAGAGACAGCTGCTACACAGTGCTACTGAACTACTGGAAGAACTGAAGGGGTTTTCACCCTCTGCTAGTAGCAGTGAGGGGGCAGAGAAAAAGAAGATGGAACTACAGGTACATGTACATATTAATTAATTAATTAAATGTTGTACAGGCACTGAGTGCTAAGTACTCCCAGCTGGAGGGTCAGTTTGAGGAACTTCTCTCAGCTTCCAGCAGCCTGAGTGAGACCCTGTTTGATCAGACCAAGTTTGAAAAGGATGTCAACTCACTGAAGGACAAACTGGGAGAATGCAGAGCTGCCAGGGACGAGAAATCAAAAACCTTAAAAGTACAGAGTATTTACATGTACACATTAATTAATAATGAATAACCTTAATTAACAATGAATAACATTAATTAATAATGAATAACATTAATTAATAATGAATAACATTAATTAATAATGAATAACATTAATTAATAATGAATAACATTAATTAATAATGAATAACATTAATTAATAATGAATAACATTAATTAATAATGAATAACATTAATTAATAATGAATAACATTAATTAATAATGAATAACATTAATTAATAATGAATAACATTAATTAATAATGAATAACATTAATTAATAATGAATAACATTAATTAATAATGAATAACATTAATTAATAATGAATAACATTAATTAATAATGAATAACATTAATTAATAATGAATAACATTAATTAATAATGAATAACATTAATTAATAATGAATAACATTAATTAATAATGAATAACATTAATTAATAATGAATAACATTAATTAATAATGAATAACATTAATTAATAATGAATAACATTAATTAATAATGAATAACATTAATTAATAATGAATAACATTAATTAATAATGAATAACATTAATTAACAATGAATAACATTAATTAATAATGAATACTTTGTTCAGTTTGTTTTTTAATATTCGCTAGTCCCAGTTGACAAATAAATTGCATTTTTAGACAAATCATGAACTAATTAATACCATAGTTATTAATAGTTATCAGTAGTTATTAATAGTTATTAATAGTTATTAATAGTACTCTCTCTTCTCTGCAGCACATTACCAGTAGGCTGAAGGTGCTAGAAGTGTCGGTTGGTGAGTTGGAGAGCTGGTTAGTGACGACTGAAGAGAAGATGAGCACTCTAGAACATTCACTGGGAAGATCAGGTACCAACATGACTCAACAGCTGAAAGAAATACAAGTAAATAATAATAATAATAATAATAATAATAATAATAATAATAATAATAATAATAATAATAATGTTTATTATTATTAATTCATTGTCTTGTAGTCGTTAGAGGAAGATATAACGGATCATGAGTCTCAGTTAGATTCCATTGATTCCTCCATACTATCACTGGCTTCTCATCTTGAGGATTCTCATTCAAAGTGTCTCCATAGCAACCATGAGTCCCTCTCCTCCCGTTACCATCAGCTCTCATTCTCCGCCCAGGTCTATCCAATGGAGGTCTGGCTCTCGGTCCATTGCTCAGAGCTGCAGCTGATGACCCGAGCAGCTGTACTGACGGTACCTTTGAGCTCACAGGTCCAGGAGGCAACACGTTTCTTAAACAAGATTGACGGGTCCCGCCCACGCCTTGAGGAACTTGAGGGGGTGGTGTCGTCATTGTCTGACCAATCAGATTTAAGCTCAGCAAAAGTGAAGATGGATCGGATACAGAAAGACTTTACTACATTGAGGAGTTTAGCAAGTAGGCGGAGCCTGTTGCTAGGGTCGTTTTTACCGAGAATCAAACTGTACGAGGGATCAATTGAAAACTGGGAGGGGCTACTGGGGAGGTGGGAGGAGTCTATGAGTAGTTTGACCACACCCACCGCTAACATGACACTAGTACAATCACAAATGGAATCAATTAAAGTATTACTAGTTATTAATAGTTATTAATAGTTATTAATGTTAATTATATTCTCATACAGTCAATCCTGGTATCAATGTCTGACCATGAGCCAGAGTTCTCTGCTTTATTACGAGAGGCAGTCCAGCTGTATGCTGGTCCTGAGGGAGAGACTGCTCTCCTGGAGGAGGTTAGGGGATTGACCACGTCAGCTAGCCCCGCCCCTCCTGATGATACTAGAGGAGGTAAGGCCCATTATTTACTAAAGGGGTTGTCGCTAGCATTCAAAATGACAAATGTTAAAATGTAGTATTGTATTTCTTCAGGTCAGGCGGAGCTACAGTGGAGACTTGATGAAGACAAGAAGAGACTCGAGAATCTCAAGAGGTCGTTTTCCGAGCGACTCTCTCTCCTCTCCTCTCTCTCTACCAACTTGAAGACATTCACGGAATCAGTCGGGGTACTGTTGCCATGGTTACAGGAGCAGTCCTTTGTGGGGGAGGGGCTTATTTTGAAAGACCCCGCCCACAGTGTGATACAGAAACAACTCTCCACCTGCCAGGTACATGAGAATGGGAATGGAAGTTTTAAAGTTTTAGTATGAGAGTATGATACATTTATGTATTTATTAATTTCGTTAGTCTGTCATGAGTATGCTGGAGCAGAAGTCCTCCTTGAAACAAGAAGCAGAAAGAAGCTTCTCTTCCATTTCTTTATCATGTCTACCTGAAGACCCTTCCTCTCTCTCCCTCCATTCTCAACTGGACACTGTACAGGAGCTCTGGTCTAACTTGTCTGACCACTTGACTAGGACCAAGTCTCACTTAGAGGCAGCTGGAAAGCTGGCCAGGTCCTATGAGAAGGAGAGAGACAGACTCAGTGGGTGGGTGAAGGCCACTCTTAGTGAACTCAATGATGTTCATGGTTTTGTGCCAACTGAACCAAACGCCATTCAAGACATCAAGATCAGGATTGATGTACGGTTTTATTGAGTTTTTTGAAATGCTAAAATTAGTACATGTAACTGTAATTAGACTCTTAGACTGTATTCTATTTTTAGATTCTAAAGACAGAATACAATAACTATGCTCCAATGCTGGCCCAATGTACAGAAGAGGGTCTGGGATTATCTGAATATGTTCAAGACCCAGCGGAGAAAGAAAAGTTGACGAAAGCTGTACATGAGCTTCAGTCAGGCTGGGATAATGTTGGTATGTAACAGAGAGAGAGGGGGGAGAGAGAGAGGGGGAGAGAGAGGGAGGGGATGGAATTGCATATGCACATGTTCTTGTCTTTGAAGGTCAATTACTGTCAGACATTCACCAGAAGCTAACTGAGGCTCTCCTGCAGACTCAGCAGTTCCAGCAGGTGGCTGATAATCTTGAGCGCTGGGTGAATGCTACCCAGGCTTCTCTTAAAGGACTAGAACCACCTGCTGCTCAAGTTAGACTCATTGACACTCAAATTGAAGGATTCAAGGTATACACTCTACCAGCTGGAGGGTTTTAATGATTTTCTCTGTCCTCTTTAGCCAATTTTAGAAGACATAAAGTCAAACGCTACTGGTCTGGAGCAAGTGAAAGCTATTGGTAACTCTGTGGTGTCCGACTCAACGACTGAAGAAAGACTCAAAGTAGAGAAGAGACTCCATGCCCTGGAGACACGTTTCTATGGACTTGAGAAGACGAGTAAAGGAAGGATGACTGAACTGCAGGTGCTCTACATGTACAGGAATTCATTGTGCTCCTAATATCTCTAGCTTTAGTTCTAGTTCCATGCCTATACTTATACTTTACTGATCAGTGTGCTGCTACATGTACCTCTTTCTCTCTCTCCCCAGGATGCCCACACTAAGGCTGGTATATATGAGTCTCATTGCTCTGCTGTGGCTCAGTCTGTTAGTTCTATTGAAGAGAAGACAGCTGCTCTACCGCCCACTCCAATTAGGTCACAGCCGTTGACTACACTGTCTCAGGATATTAAGGTATACTATAGTTTACTGATTAATATACTAATAATATACTGACTCCAGGCTATTAATCAGTTATTAAACACCCATCATTCACTGGTTGAAGACATGACCTCGAGCGAATGTGCTTTATTTGGAACTGACACGCCCTCTCTTTGTTGCTATGACGACCTTGATGATCTTCACCTTTTGATAGCGTCCACGTCTCCTCTCCGGCGGGCGGAGTCCCCCCTCCAACCAGGGGAAGAGGAGACGCTGGTCCATCCTGACTTTGTGAAGCGACCAGGAGCTGTTGATGCTATTGATGTTGGAGCCAAACTGAGACAAAGATACAAGAAATTGAAACTGGAGGGAGGAAGGAGAGAAGAAGAGGTAGAGCGACTATTGGTAACCGTTGGCAACTATGAGAGTAACCTCTCGCTCTTTTCTGATTGGCTGGACGATATGGTTGCTAAGCAACAAGGATTAGGGCCACTCCCTTTTACTAGTGAAGGAATGAAACAGCAATTGAAGGAAATTGAAGTAATTAATAATAATTAATAATAATATTTATTATACATTATAAGGAGCTACAGTCTCTTGTTGATTCTAAAGTTGATTCACTTGAGTCCATCAATGCTACCGGTACTTCCCTTGTTGATGGGTGTCGGGATGGTCTATCTCGTGATTCGGTTAGAGAGAGCCTGTCACTGGTTAATGGTCGCTGGGGGGACCTGCTAAAGTGGGTGGAGGAGAGGGCTGGGCGGCTGAGGGAGGGGCTCACTGTAGCGGGTAAATATGAAAATAAAGAGAAGGATCTTGAGTCCTGGCTGACCAGCTGTGAGGAGACACTATCGGAAGATAAAGAAGGACAAGATCTTCAAGAGTCGATGGAGCTATTAATGGTACAGTCTGCATGTACAGTACATGAATTATATTAATGTCTTTTGACAGTCTTTGCAATCTGATGTGTCATCTAAGCAGCCATTAGTGACAGCTACAGTATCACTAGGCCAGTCATTAGACCTGTTCTTATCCTCCAGTGATGGAGGGACAGTGGCAGCTGCTCCTTCTGTTCTTAAATACACTGAACTCCAGCAGCGCTATGAGGAACTGGGTACCAAACTGAGCGATAAGTTAAAGACTACGGAATCATCTCTTAACAAGGCAGCTGGACTGAAGTATGTACTTGATAATTAGTGTATAATGATGCCCCTCCTCTCTCTCTCTCTCTCTCTCTCTCTCCCTCTCAGGTCACAGATAATGTCACTGTGTGAGCAGTTGAAGTCAATAAAAAGAACTTTAGATAATCATGAACCACCACGCCTCCTAACCGACCTTATTCATCAACAAATACAGGAAATTGAGGTATATTATTTATTATTTATTTATTTATTTATTTATTTATTTATTTATTTATTTATTTATTCATGCTCAGGGTGCTGCATCACAATGGTCTTCACTCCAACCAGCTGTTAGTCAAGTTTTAAAATCACCGGAGGAATATTCAAAACATGGTAAGACCACAACCACTAGTTATTGCTGTTATTATGTCATAGGAGAATTATCAGTTTTATCAAAGCAGCTGCAATCTCTTAATGAGGACGTTCGTTCGTTGCTTGATAATTGGAAGTCACGCCTCCAGGCTACTTTAGATAAACTACTTCAGTTTGAATCAGACGCTAAAGAATACTCCACCTGGTTGGGAGAGACCAGTGATAAAGTGGGACAGGAAGAACTTGTTAGAGGAACTGTGGGCGGAGTCAAGCTACAGGTTGAAGAAATGGAGGTACTAATTGTGTTATGAATTTTTAAAGTTGATTTGACAAAACACCCTGTACTAAAGTACACTGTACATGGTCTCGGACCAAATTTTGTGAAAAATGAGAAATACAATGTACATGTACATGTAGATAGTTCTCCAAGTTACTAGACAGTTCTTTTAGTGTTCCTCCCTCTCCTCCTTTAGTATGTTAATAGCGATATTTCACAACACCAACCTTCCTTGCAACAATTAATGAATAGTGGGCGGGGAATGATGGGCGGGGCCTCTCCTAACGACTGTATCCTGATTGGTGAGAGGCTAGCTCAGGTCCAGTCCAGTGTGGAGGCACTCCAGAGAGCCGCTCTTACTAGAAACAAATACCTGAAGGAGGGGCTTGCCAAAGTAAGTATATACCACAGCAGCTGGTACATTAATTTTGGAGACGTTAATGTAATTTGCTGCAAATTTTCCAAATGAAAAAATTGATCAATAACATGAATACGTGTACATTTCTTGACAGGCGCAAGAGTTTGATGATCTAGTTGAATCCACTTTGTCCACACTTGAGTCTCGGGCCAGTGACAGCAAAGGGTTGCCTCCTGTGGGGACTGACATTGATACTGTAAAGACCCAGCTTGAAGAACTGAAAGTATAATTGATTAATTAATCAATTGATCATTCATCTTCCTCATATTATTAGGAGTTTGATGATGATCTTCAGGAGGTGCGGTCTGCTGTCTCTTCTTGTAACTCAAAGGGTGCCGCCCTAAAGAAGTCCTGTCACCATGGCGACCACAAGTGGGTGGAGTCTAAACTAGAGGAGCTCAACTCTCATTGGTCCAAGCTCCAGTCCTCCTGTACTTCAAGACAGCAGGAGTTGGAGAATGCTTTATTGCGACTGGGCCAGTTCCATGAGGCACTGGGTGAGCTACTCTCCTGGTTTGAAGAAGCAGAGAAGGCACTGAGGGGCGGGGAAATGGGCGGAGTCAATATTGAATCACTGGAATCACAAATGAAGGATCTACAGGTAAGCATATAGTGGGTGTGGTTTTATAGTGGGTGTGGTTTATAATGGGCGTGGTTTGTTTGCATTATTACATGTACATTTGTAATTTTATATTAGTCAATGTTGACATATCAGACATATATCATTATACCTTATACTGTATACATGTAATTGTAATATAACCTTTCCTCCTCCTCCTCCTTCTCTCAAGGTATTACAGTCGGAGGTTGTTGCTCGTGAACCGACTGTCTCTTCACTGAATGAAGCAGGTGCTAGACTAATGGCCACTAGTGCTGATGAAACAGCTGCTACTGAAATAAAAGAAGATATTGATAAACTTAATAACAGGTAAGGTATTATTATTATTATTATTATTATTATTATTATTATCATCATCATCAGGTTTGGTTCTATAAAGTCATTGTCAGCTGATAGACAGCTGGAGCTGTCTACTGCTCTTGAGCGAACACGCCATTTCCATGGCAACCTAAAGAGCCTATCAGATCGACTTAAAAAGCTTCGGGAGGTTTCTTTGTTGTCATGGAAACCGTGTGGTCTACCGGATACTAGTGAAACAGCTCTTAATGAACACAGGGAGGGTTTCCTAGCTGACGCCAGGGGGTTGAAGGACTCAATAGAAGAACTGAAGGAGGAGGGGGAGGGGCTTAAGACCCAGTGCAGCACCAGTGACAGGGACCTCATTGATCAATGGATTAACAGGGTGGAGGAGGAGTGGGAGGAGCTTAGGAAATCAGGAGAAGAGAAAGAAGTTAGAGACAGAAATTGATTTTATATTATCATTATTATTATTATTATTATTATTATTATTATTATTATTATTATTATTATTATTATTATTATTATTATTATTATTATTATTTATTTTATTAATTTGCAGTTGAAGTTACAAGAGGCGAAAGCTAGAGCTGATGAATTTGATGATGCTTTTAAAAACCTGTCAGTCCAGTTAGACCAGTTGGAGGAACAGGCTAAAGGTGATTCTGCAATCCTTTCTGAAGCAACTGCAGTCAAAAAACAGCTTGAGGAGCATAATGTAAGATTAATGGTGTAGATTGATGTAATATAATGGTTTAGGAGTTTTTAAAATCACTTGATGAATTTGAAGCTGGTTTAAAGGACGTTGAACTCTCTGGTAAAGATTTGGTGAAGTCTTGTGTTCAAGAAGACGCTACTGTTATAAAGGAAAGACTATCACAGCTCAGGTAAACTAGATATACCATGAACATGTATTACAACTTCTGTGGCCCAAAATTCTCACAAGAAAAACATTTTAAAGTGACCATAATATTAAAATTTGTTAAGATGCATTTTTTCTGCAGATTAATGAGATATTTGGGTCATAAAAAGTATATTTTGCTTCATAATACTTGTCAGTAGTATGATCTGACAGTACCTGTACATGTACTGTATTGTCTATTAATTATTCTGTTAGGTCAAGAAGTGATACCATGCAGTCAAGTGCTCTGAATTATTTGTCGAAACTAGAAGAGGCTCTGCTAACACTGGGCGAGTTTGAAGATGCTTACATTGAAATGATGAACTGGCTGACTAAGATCAGTGAAGAGTTGAACAATGGAGACCCACTAATAGGACACACTGACAGTCTAGCGGTTCAGTTTGACAGCATCAAAGTATATTCCTAACACATGTACATGTACATGTACATTCCGATCAAATTTGGATTTTTTACGAATTTTTAAAGTTGCTCCAAAATTGGATAAAAGTCCCTGTACTATAGTACATGGTCTCGGGCCAAATTTTGCCAAAAATGGAAAGTAGAGAATTCTCAATTTTTATAACATTCCCTGATACATATACATGTTTTTATGTTGTGTAGAAAGTTTGAGTTCATTCCGATCAAATTTGGATTTTTTTACGAATTTTTAAAGTTGCTCCAAAATTGGATAAAAGTCCCTGTACTATAGTACATGGTCTCGGGCCAAATTTTGCCAAAAATGAAAAGTAGAGAATTCTCAATTTTTATAACATTTCCTGATGCATATACATGTTCTTATGTTGTGTAGAAAGTTTGAGCTGATTCCGATCGAAATTAGATTTTTTATGAATTTTTGAAGTTGCTCAAAAATTAGGTAAAAGTCCCTGTACTATAGTACAGGGGGTTTGGCCAAATTTTGCCAAAAATGAAAAGTGGAGAATTCTAAATTTTTATTACATTTTCTGATACATATACATGTTCTTATGTTGTGTAGAAAGTTTGTGCTGATTCCGCTCAAATTTGGATTTTTTTTTACAAATTTTTAAAGTTGCTCAGGCCAAAGTCCCTGTACTACAGTAGAGGGACTCTTTAGGTTACAATTGATGCATTGGCTGATGATGGATATCCTTACATTAGGTGACACAGAGGGAGTTGGAGGCGCGGTCTGTTAATTACAAGTCAGTCATTAAAGCTGGGAAGGAGCTCCTTAAGTCAAAGGAAGGAGATGACAAGTACCTCCTGAAGAGGAAACTAGCTGACCTTGAACAAGAATGGGCCGGAGTCAATCAGTCTTGTAATGGCAGAATAAATAGAATTGAAGATGCTTTTACAAAAGTACATTAATGTCTTCTAAACCCTGCAATAAACAACACTAACAATATCTATAATGTTCTTTATATTCTTTTTCTCTTCCTGCTCCAGGTCCACAGTCTTGAGTCTCAGATAAAACCTCTCAGCTCCTGGATGAATAAAGTCTATTCATCTCTTGATGAATCTGAACCCGTCCATGGAGACATTGCTACTGTACACGAGCTCAGTGACGCACATGAGGTCAGTTTACTGAAGTATACTAAGATTTACTGAGATATATTGTTTAATGCATGCACAGTTTATTGATGATTGTCTAATTATGTATTTAATTAATTAATTAATTAATTAATTAATTGCAGGCGTTTCAGCGAGAGCTGTCCTCGCACCAGAAGAGCATAGACCACCTGGAGAGTTCTGTGGAGGAACTACGAGCCAGTGAGAGTCTTGACAGCACCTCACCATTGAGTGAGAGTGTACAGTCACTGGTGGACTATTGGAGGGAAATATGCCAGCTGTCTATCAATAGACAAGAGAGACTGGAGCAGGCTAAGAAGGTACAGTATTACTTATAATTAATATATTAATTATTACTATACTTAATGAATAATTATTATTATTGATTGGTAGGATGCTATAGAATTCAATCAATGTCTTCGTGATTTGTGGGTGTGGCTTGAAGAAAAATCCTCTGAATTAGACGAGATGTCCTTGCCAGCTGACGAAGTTGAAACCTTGCAGACTCAGATTGAAGAAATGGAGGTCAGGGAGAGAATATAAAATGAATTATGTGTAGAGTGAAAAGTGACCTATACATTATATATCTGTTTAAAAACTCTCTTCATTTTTAGTCTTTCAAGTACCTCGTGGATGAGAAGATCCCGGACTACCAGTCGGTGCTGGAGACTGGCTCAAAGCTCCACTCCATGTCTCACCCAAGAGCCGAGCCAATCCTACAAGGACAGCTCCAACAGCTTCAATTGAAGTGGTCCTCTTTGCAGTCCAAGATGGCCGCCCGTTCTGATGTTCTCTCCTCTAATATGCTTGAGTTACACGGACTCCAGGACATGCTGGACCAGCTCCTGGGATGGGTACAAGAGGCGGACCTTAAAATGGGCGGAGCTGAAGACATTCCTCTCGGAGACGACCTGGAGAGCGTTGAACAGCAATTAGCAGATCATGAGGTGGGTGTGGTCAATATTAATTAATTATTTATTAATTTCTTTTAATAGTCTTTCCAGGAGGAGATGGCTGCCTATCAGCCTAACATGGATGCTTTGAATAAAGTTGCTAAAAGACGCAAATCTCGTTCCTCTTTGAGCTCCCTCCCTCCCTCCTCTTCCTCCTCTCAGCCTGATATGGCTAAAAGGATCGGTCACCTGTACAAGAAATGGCAGAGACTTTGGTTGAGGTCTTCGGAGAGACACAGACAGCTTCTGGAGGCAAGGACAAGACTTAAAGACATTGCGATGGCTAGGTACAAGATCACAATATTTAATACAAGTACATGTACATGTACTTCTTTGCTGGTTGAAAGTTTCATCAATTACGTCAGGATAATGTGTTTATTTTTTCATAATGCTTCCACACTTTACATGAATAGTGGATCATAGTCGAGTGATGAAAATTTTAATTTGCAAAAAGATTTTGACAGAATTTGTAACTGATAAAACTTAACCTCTTTCACAACTAGGTCCTTCAATTTTGATGCCTGGTGCAAGAGGTTCGTTGGTTGGATTGATCAGAACAAACTGAGAGTTAGTGACCTCTTCATTCGGTTTGCTCATGACGGAGTATTGACCAGAGAAGAATTCATGAAAGGACTCAAGGCATCAGGTAAAGGGAGAGGAGGAGGAGCTGTCAGTGAATGTATAATTATTATTAATAATCCTTTAGGGCTACCAATGAATCAGATAGAAATGGAGAAGATTGCTGATGGTTTCGACAGTAACAGAACCGGACTGATAGAGCTCCCTCATATAATGGCCATTCTTAAAGGACAGAAACCAAGAGCAAGATTCACTGCATCAGCTGGTCCTTCAAGACAACTGAGTGACTCTGAGAAGATAGACATGGAGGTGTGGACATGTTATTATTATTATTATTATTATTATTATTATTATTATTATTATTATTATTATTGTTATTAATTAGATTCACGAGCAAGTCACAAAGTGTTGCTGTGCTCATAAATTTCAAGTCATTCGTGTTGGAGAGGGTCAATATAGAGTGAGTAAAGGGTTAAAAATACCCTTTATAACCCACTGTACCTTCTCACTTGTAGTTCGGAGACTCTCAGAAGTTGAGATTAGTGAGGATACTGAGGAGTACAGTTATGGTGCGAGTGGGCGGAGGATGGGAACCTCTTCATGAGTTTCTATCAAAGAATGACCCATGTAGAAGTGAGTTAATAACTATTAATAATTAATCAGTTTCTTTGCTACATAAGTACGTGTATAATGCATCAGATGAAATTATAAAAAAACATAAAGTTCTCTCCTAATGCCATTTCTAAACGAACCCTTCCATTTCTAAAGGTACTGGTCGGACTAATACAGAACTAAGGGATCTGACCACAGCTGGTCCTGGACTAGCCAATGCTGAGTTCAGACGTAAGACCCAAACTGCCATCAACATTAAGAACGAGGCATTCAGGAGAGCCTCAGCGAGAGACCCTGAAGCTATAAGAACTGGTAGAGTACCTCATGCTGGAAGACAAGAAATGACAATAACTAAGAGGGGATCTGTACAGGTAGCAGGGAAGGTAAGAGAGAGGGAAGGGGAGGGGGAGGGAAGGGAAGGGGAGAGAAAGAGATACAGAGATACATATTTCTTTCTTTCTTTCTCTTTAGACTGATTCTGGCCTCCATCAGCCTCGTACTTTCAGGAGTTCCAGTGCTGTATCAGCTAGTATTAATCCTAAAATAAAACCAACAAGAGAACGTACTGAATCTCCTACTCCATTGGACACACCTACAAAGACTCAAAGAGGCCCCACCCCTCCAACAGCCACACCTCTCTCCTCAGTACCCAGGAGTTCTCCTTCTCGTAGCTCCGCCTCTTCAAAGATCCCATTACCAACAGCTGCTGGAGGGAGTAGGATACCAGTTAGTAAGATACCAACACCTTCACGACCAGGTAGTAAAAAACATTAATTATTACTATTATTATTATTATTATTATTATTATTATTATTATTATTATTATTATTACTATTATTATTAACATGGTTTTATGAACTGTGTTTGTATAATTTTAAATTCATTTTTTGTCCCATACTATCGTTCCATTCTGTTCTGCATAATGTCCTCCTTATTCTAATTCATCTCCTGTATCGATTACTGTATCAATGTCCCTACTTGTTCTTTTTTGTCTAGATTTGTATTTCATTAGATTTTAATTTTTAATAATTTTAGTTGTTATTATTATTAAGATGATGTTATGTTGATAATAATAATAATAATACAAATTGAATTGCAAGTTATTTGACAGAGAGGTGAGGACTGAACAGTTGATGAATTAAAATATTACAATTTGTACAATACCTTTATTATATAAAGTAATAACGACATTTTATGAAGCAGCTGCTGCTGTCAATTTAAAAACAAAAAAGCTTACAACAATTGTGATCAGCTGGCGAATTGTCATCGAAATAAAAGAATGACGGTAAAGTATTATTAGTAGTTGCTGAGGATCCTCCGTTAGCGGCTGATTGTCCGATGGTACTGTACTGGGGCTCTTGAGAGAGCTCAGGGTTGGACTGACAGAGTGAGGAGCGAGCGCTAGTGATTATTGTCATTTGATTTTGAAGAGCAAAAGAGACTTTCTTTCCTCTGTACTCCTGCCCTGATATTGTGTGAGGTTTCGGTCTCAGTCTCGCTGTGTTTATTCTCAAGTCTTCGCTCGAACGTCTCAGATACTTTGGTATTTCAAAACTTTTTCCAGCAACTGTTAGAAACTTTGCTGGGACCCAGAACCTAAGCCCACTTATTGTAGCAACGTAAAAATAATGAGACTCAAGTTCAGAATAAATAATCTTAACATTGCAACCTTTTCTAACGAGCTGCTGTGTACCGGGCATAGTGTAGTTGCCTAGCAACGAGCATATCTCTCCTTTCTTTCTTGGTTGAGGTAAGTTTGGATTCTCGAGGAGAGAAAGAGGAGGAGGTAGAGAGGAATTGAACTTATAATCCGACTGGAACTGAATGTTAGTGGAATACAACCAGCCGCTCTTTTGGAGTGTGCTGAAGCTCTGTCTCGTTAGTCTACAGTGTGAGCGAGGAATGAAACCGGTCTGGCCAGTCAAACTGCTACCATATATCCATCTCTCGTCCCCGTATAGTAGGCGGAGCTTGTTACCAATGGTAACCGTCATCTCATCTCGGTCTTGTGAGATGTAATCTTTAATAACAATGAGGTCAATTTTGATTGGCTGGAATTGCCGAAAGGAGTCTTGGTTGTCTACGATCTGTTTGATATTTAGAGTCGAGAGAGAGAAAAGGGAGGAGTAGGAGAGAGATGACATCTTTGAATTGTTTCCGTAATAAGATCTTGAGAGTCTCGCGGATGAATAAAGAACCTTTCCAGTCCGACCAGTAGCAACATCTGTAGCAATAATGTACTCATCTATAAATAAGGAATATAATTAGTGAAGGACATCAATATGTATCAAAAAGTGTAATAAAAATTTGGGGTGATTTTGGAGCCATTTTTTGAAAAAACCATGGGCTATAGCCTTGGGTATTTTTTAGAATTTTGACGTTTTCTTAAAATGGCCGTAACTTGAAAAATTGAAGTCGGAATCAGCACAAACTTGCTACACAGCATAAGTACATATATATGTATCAGAAAATGTAATAAAAATTTGGGGTGATTTCGGAGCCATTTTTTGAAAAAACCATGGGCTATAGCCTTGGGTATTTTTCAGAATTTTGACGTTTTCTTAAAATGGCTGTAACTTGAAAAATTGAAATTGGAATCAGCTCAAACTTGCTACACAGCATAAGGACATCAATATGTATCAGAAAATGTAATAAAAATTTGGAGTGATTTTTTGGCCATTTTTTGGAAAAAACCATGGACTATAGCCTTGGGTATTTTTCAGATTTTTGGCATTTTCTTAAAACGGCCATAACCTGAAAAATTGAAGTCGGAATCAGCTCAAACTTTCTACACAACATAATTACGTCAATATGCATCAGAAAATGTAATAACAATTTGGAGTGATTTTTTGGCCATTTTTTGGAAAAAAACATGCGCTATAGCCTTGGGTATTTTTCAGAATTTTGATGTTTTTTTAAATGGCTGTAACTTGAAAAATTAAAGTCGGAATCAGCTCAAACTTGCTACACAGCATAAGTACATCAATATGTATAATGTAATAAAAATTTGGTGTGATTTCGGAGCCAATTTTTTGAAAAAAAAACCATGGGCTATAGTCTTGGGTATTTTTTGACATTTTCTTAAAATGTATCAATAATTAAGATAACAAACCTTTAATGTATCTTGCTAATAGTTTCTGTCCTGGTCTGACAGTCAGTATATCATTGCCTCCTCTATTACTGCTCTTGGTTGATATACTGATCATGTGTAGCATTGCTGGATGTGCTTCATCACTTCTGAGCAGGACCCTCTTGGCAAAACCATGTACTTCCATATTTGGCATTATCACGTATTGAGCTTGTTTTATGGGTGTGGCTTGTAATCTGGGTTGTCTCTGTGAATTAAGAGTAGGCGTGGCTTCTGACGTCTTTATCAATTGTGCTTTGAGAGGTTGAGTAACATAATGGGACTGAGCTGATCCCATTTTAACGTAAGCACTCTCCGTACTGAGGGTCTTAGCCACTGGAGTCTTAGGAGTCTTCACTGAAGAACCTTCTTGAGTACTCGCAGTGTCTTGATCAAACGAGGGCAGTGGGTTGCTGTTCTGACGGTCCAACTCATTCAATATTTCAGAGTCGATCACCTTAAGGGTATGCTGGCCTATCTTGATGACACCTTTGTTATCATTTTCACCACGACGACCCTCCCCGCCCACCTCACCTCTAACTGATAATGATGATAGTTCTGATGATGATTCTGACTCATCCTCATATCCTGGGGGTGGAGACAGTACAGGGGTACTGCAGCTAGCCCGTAGATCAGTGATAGAATTAATGGACTCACATGAAGTAGCACCATTAATATTATTATTATATTTTATTTCGATGCTGCTGTTTGAACTGACGTTACTAGTCTCAATACTGTAGTGAGTGGCTGCGTTTGATGAAGAAGTATCAGAATATATTGGAGTAATGAAGACATCGTCATCACTGGGGTTGAGGGTAGAGGGAAAGGGAGAGGAGAGAGAGGAGAGGAGGTTATCCACTGATCCTTGGGTTTCACCAAAACCACTGTCAGTTTGAAACCGTCTGGTGAAAGGCGGTATGAAAGATAGCTAATGAAAGGAAATAAAAATAATTTTAATTATTAAAGTTTTGTACTATGACATGTTCAAGATGTTTGAGTAACACCTCCTCAAATACAATGTAAATGTACATATAAAGTTTGCCAGTTAATTGTCACCTCAATTTGTAAACAGGAAGTATTAACTAATTCTGGCTCACCTTTTCTTTTATTCCAGCTGCTCCATCAGGAGGTGTTACTGCAGCTCCATACTTTCCCTCAATCCTTGTAATACCAGTGCTGGATAACTGGTACACATTACCAGCTGCTGTAGAGAGACAGACTGAGGCAACAGAGGAGGGGATCCAAAAGAGGAAAACAGATTCTTCTCTTCCTCCTCCTCCTCCTCTTTTAAACTCCTTGACCACTCCTTGAAGCAAAGCAAACTCTCTCCTAATCCCAAGTACAGTTGACAACAACTCGTGGAAGCTAAGGGTATCTCCCAGCGTGTAGCCCTTGCTTGGTTTTGATGTGAATATACGTAACTCTTCAAAGCCCTGAGGACACTGAGGGCCAGTGGATACAGCTGGTAACAGCAACAGCTTATGCTCTGAGTACTGGTCTAGTAGACTATTGTACTGGTTTATGAGAGACTGACACGAAGACCCCACAGTAGTGAGTTGTGTAGCTACGTGGGAGAGTAGGAAGTGATTGTACCAGGAGGAATGGTCTTGCAAAAAAGAGAACAAACTCGACAGATTATCGTCTCCAGTTATATTCCTAAAGAGCACCTGCTTCTCATTACTACCAATCAGACACTCTCCTTCTTCTAACGAGGCCCTCAGGTCTCTTGCTGGTACTGGCAGCTGCTCCATTTCTCTCTGGAGTGCAATGATGTGAGTGTAGTACTCGCTGAGGAGAGGCACCATCGGAGAGGAGGAGCTGCAGCTGGTCTGTGAGTCCTGACTGAAAGCATTACCTCCTCCTGTTGATTCCATTGTCGTAGTATTACATTCTTTAGTAGCCACTCCTCTCCTTTGATGCGTACTATTGTTGCAGCTGGTGCTAGACGTACAGCACAAATCTAAAATATGAAATTAATATAAATAATTAATATGCAGACATCATGTCCTTAGGCTATTGATAGAGAGAGTGCCAAGGAGTCAGTAATTAAATTAATGATTATATGGTGAGTTGATATTAGTATAAAGTGATGTAATGTGTGTTTAATTATAAAAGATCAAAGGAATTTAAACCACAAAAGGCCCAATGGTTATTTATTTACAATACATCATTATTGATTCATTCTTAAGTACAAACAACACTCATTATGATGATCTCAACCAAAGAAACAGCCTAACTGTTGCTTGTAACAGAGGAAGGTTCTACTCCACTATAACATGGAGTGATTGCTGGTGGATACACTTGGGGAGTCATGAGTATGTGTTGGTTATAGTTCCGTGAAATATAATAAAATGTACATCATCTACAATAACAAGTGATAGTGCGCAATATTACAAGTTAAAGTTTAATTCAATTAGACGTTGCCGCAGTGTTGCTCTAATATTTGAAATACCAATGCCATTACATCCTGTCTTCGTACACACATGAGATTTGTATGTGTGACCTAACAGTTATTATAACAATGATTATAAAATTCTTAATCACTGATAATGCATACTGGTGCACTATATTGATGTACTTGTGCAATGATCTAGTGAGTTTGAGCTATTTCTGATCAAACTTTGATTTGCAATCATTTTAACAGTTCCGGAACATTCCCAATCTTTACGTCCATTCCTAGCTGCACACAACATCCATATAATAGTTCTGATGTGCTGGTTTGGGTGTATTTCAGTTTACATTTGTAACAAATCAAATTAGAACAATTATCCTTTGACATGCAAACATAGCAATACCTTCATTAACAAAAACGCAATCACTACCAGCAATGATGAGTAATGCAATGACTGAAGACCCAGTGTATAGAGAGACAATGAGGCAGAAACTTAAAAGCAATTAGGAGAGGAAGAGAGAGAGAGAGAGAGAGAGAGAGACTGAACATAAAAGACAAGAAGAATTAAACATGTACTAGTAGCTGCATAGTGACCATTGGCTCATTGGCAATGGCACAATGAGAGGAATGACAGACATGAAACGTCATGTCCATAACTAATGATTACTGAATAACACACTTAGGCTACACACAGAGTGCACTTTATAGTACAAATTATTGTAATTTTATGAAAGTGCACACCCAAAGAGAGCATTACTATAACATGCTGTAATAGTATCTATTGCTGGTAATTGTTTTATTGTGTTATACTGAGTAGAGGGAATTCGGTGTTACTATAAATGGACAATGAAGGACGTGTTTACAGTATGGTTTAATCGAATTTTATGCATGGATACGTATAAGGAATATAGTAATATGATGGAATGGAAAATATTCAGAGAGGAAGAGAGGAAGAGAGAGAGAGAGAGAGAGAGAGAGAGAGAGAGAGAAAGAGCTAGAAGAGAGGATTATTTAAACTATTAAAAGCAATGTTTTGATTAACAACTCAAGTCAATTGTTTAAAGGAATGTGACCTTGTACTATAACATAACTTGCATTTGCACTGATTTCCCTTCACTGGTCCCCCCTCTCTCCACTCTCCCCCCCTCATGACTAATAAGTGTTAATAAGGGACAGTTATTAACAACCCATTGAGCTCCTGACCTACACACATTCAGCCTCCCTATGGCAAATAGATTGATATGAAAACAACACCACTCAATACTCCAGTGTACATTATAGTAACACTGCATGCAACTATGCACACCTGCAAGAAGCATGCACAATCAAGCTCCCTGTAACAAGTAATGCTACAGGAAACAATATGTATACAGTATAGCCTTTTTATAATGGACACTCTCTATAGCGCACACCTCCATTTAACGGACAGCACCTAGTGTACCAATTATATTCCTTATATAAAATCCTCCACATAAAGGACAACTCTGTATAACAGAGACACCGTATTCTTTTTTCTACCAAAGTGTCCATTATATAGAGACTAGTCTGTATGTAACAGGCTATTATTGGTGAGTCTATTGCTGCTCTCTTTTGTATAAATACTGCCCACCAGTCCTGCTTAGATCAGTGCGGCTGCAGGATAAACAAACAAACGTGCTCGCCAAAATCATCATTGATCATCATCATCATCATTTTTACTATTAGTCTATTGTAAGGCTTTAACCATTGTAACTTTAAAAGTGCTGGACAGCTAGCTCATTACTTTTCGTACACATGGACTGTATGATAATAGTATGATCATTAAAATTGATAAATCTATGGCATAATTTTTTGTAATCTGAACAGCAAAAAATTTCATGTACTAAATATACAATAGAAAAGTCAACTACAAGGCTCGTGATACAAGCTCGTTGCAGGAGACTAGTTATTTATCTTCTGCTTTATTTCTGCTATTTTTACTGTTACCTACTCACCATGGAAGGACAATCCGTTGTGTGTTCCCCCTCCGCTTCTCCTTCCTCCTCCTCCGGCTGTAGTCTCAAGGCTTTGTATCCCTCCAGGCAAAGTAGAGATCATTCTCTTTTCCTCTTGTATCTTGTCAGTCTCCAGGTTTATCTGCTGCTGCTGTTCTCCGTCGCTTTCAATGGCTGTTGCCATGCTATGCTCCTTTTGACTGGTCGATAATAATCCCCAACAATAATAAAGAGTTCACGCCCACGTGCAGCTTATACAGCTTATTAAAATTCCATTCACTAAAACAATTATTACAAATATGTCAGATACAAAAATACAAAGAATAGCAATCAATGGGTCATTTATATGCATAATAGTCCAAGAGAGTTAACCTATCACCAATTAATAGAGAGAGAGAGAGAGAGTATATAAATCAAGCTATTAATACTAGTCTAGTTGGACTGCAATAACTGCATGGTCATCTGTGTCTAGGTGGCTGGAGTGACTGGCCCACCATTGATTGCTTTGAAAGGCTCTTAAAAGTAGCAACCAACTTATCCAAACTATCAGAAACCTCCTTTAAAAAGAAAGAGCAAGATAATAATATAACCTACTATCATTAGGACTGACGTACTTTTTGTGTTAAGTATAATTTTGTTTTAATGATCAGATCAACGAGTTTCTCGTCACTCGTTTCACCAGGTGATATCGCCTCGTCAAGTTGAGGACTGAATCTGTAGAAAGGTATTGGGACTCTCATCCCTTTACACCATTCCTCAAAACCCTTTGCTGCTGATTCAGAGTCACTGATCTAGCAATGGAAGTACAGAACATTAAGTCAAATTTTAATGGTGCAAGTTTTAATCTACCAATTATTAGCATTTTAATATTGACAAGATCCTTCAATGGTAATTCTTGTGGGAAAGGTTAGTTTTCCATTTGGAATTAAATGCAGTTAGTGTCACACTAAAGACAATCAAATCCTAATCCACAATAACAAAACTCTCTCCCTCTCCTCTCTCCCTCCCTCTCTCTCTCTCCCTCCCTCTCCCTTACAGCATCAACAAACATGTCCACTAGTTGCTTCAAGTGTTGCATTTTTGCCCAGAAGTTCTTCCTCATATCAATACTCAGCATGGTTTGTTTAGGATAAATACCAGTCCCGATGGAGACCGTCAGAAGGAAGTGTCTCTCTGGATGGTTCCTGCTCCTGTCGTACTCCTTGATGACTTGCAGTGCTTCCATACAAGGATTGTTGGCCTTTACTCCTCCGTCGACATATTTCCCTTCAAAAGGTTCAAAGAATATCGGAGCTGCACTTGTAGCTCTGGCTGCCTTCCACACTGGTACTGTATAGAAGAGAAGAGATTATTAAATTCATTTATTTAATTATTTTATTTACCATCATAAAGTTCTGCTGGTTCAGGCATGAAGTTTGTAAAAAATTGAACTTTAATTGGAATACACTCTGTATTGACTGTAGCAATCATCACTCTAAAATAAATAAATAAATAAATAAATAATAAATAGGTGCTTTACCTAGGTTGCTGGACACTGCTCAACAGTTTCTCTCCTATTTCTGTTTTTAATATTTTCTCCATTTTTTCTGTATTGTTCTTCATGCCCAGAAATGCGCTGGCAAAATTCCCAGCTCCTTCAAAAACCTTTGACTTCATTTGCATGTAGAGCTGTCTCATTTGAGACAGGGTCTTACCAGCTGTGGTACAAAAGATGATTCAAATATATACAAACAGCTGCTGTCAGACCTTACCATATACTAATCCTAGAGCTACAATGCCACCTGTGCTGTTCCCAACGATCCAATCAAAAAGCTCCGTTACTTTACAGCCGGTCCTCTCCTCCAGCTCCATTAGTACTTCAATTTGAACCAGTCCTCTAATGCCGCCTCCGTCAAGGAACAGTACCCTGCTACCGGCTGTTTTCTTCCAACCGTTCAAGTAATACCTCTGCTGGGTCCGAGCAGCATCCGCACTTCTCTCCTCAAGGGTTCTGGCGCTGTTAAAAGAGAGCATATCTTCTCCAGGCCCCACGGGGGCATCATGGAACTCTCTCTCGGCCTTCACCATGTCATCATCGATCATTCTTGCCAGCATTGCCATAGACTGGGGCTTCATTAGCTCTCCTATCGTCTGGTTCCTCAACTCATCAATATTCAGAGAAGCAGTGCAGTCCTCGCTGGGGAGGTTAGCTAGTGAAAAAGGTCCATTCAGTAGTGGTTCTCTGAATTCCGTCAGAAACTCATAACTTGGAGAATTGGGTGGGGCTAATTGATAAGGGAATTTCCCCTGGTAGTTCTTGCAAAAGAGAAGAGCTCCGAATGCAACAAGAACACGAATATATTGAATATCATCTTTCTATATAAAGGAGGGAATATTTTATTAAAAAGGAGGGAACTGAGGTAGTATACCTCAGCTGCAATGTGTAGAGGAGTGTTGTCATACTTATCCTGAGCGTTCAAATCAAAGTCTCGTCCGCTTTGAATACACTTGTACAGGAGAGTGTGTCGAGACTGCCTCGGTTTTGAAACGTACCAGTGAAGGGCAGTACGATCATTCTCATCTTCACGAGCATTCGGGTCTATGTTAGGATCCTTCAGTAAGTCACCAATGCTCTATGAAGAGAAGACGTACACTTAAACTGTAGCAATGCAACATAAGAACATGTATATGTATCAGGGAATGTCATAAAAATAAAGAATTTTCTACTTTTAATTTTTGTCAAAATTTAGCCCGAGACCATATACTATAGTACAGGGGCTTTTATCCAATTTTGGAGTAACTTTAAAAATTTGTAAAAAATCTAATTTTGATCGGAATCAGTTCAAACTTTCTACACAACATAAAAACATGTATATGTATCAGGGAATGTGATAAAAATTGAGAATTCTCTACTTTTCATTTTTGGCAAAATTTTGCAAAAATCCCTGTACTATAGTACAGGGACTTTTATCCGATTTTGGAGTAACTAAAAAAATCGTAAAAAAATCTGATTTTGATTGGAATCAGTTCAAACTTTCTACACAACATAAGAACATGTATATGTATCAGGGAATGTTATAAAAATTGAGAATTCTCTACTTTTCATTTTTGGCAAAATTTTGCAAAAACCCCTGTACTATAGTACAGGGACTTTTATCCGATTTTGGAGTAACTAAAAAAATTCGTAAAAAAATCTAATTTTGATTGGAATCAGTTCAAACTTTCTACACAACATAAGAACATGTATATGTATCAGGGAATGTTATAAAAATTGAGAATTCTCTACTTTTCATTTTTAGCAAAATTTTGCAAAAACCCCTGTACTATAGTACAGGGACTTTTATCCGATTTTGGAGTAACTAAAAAAATTCGTAAAAAAATCTGATTTTGATTGGAATCAGTTCAAACTTTCTACACAACATAAGAACATGTATATGTATCAGGGAATGTTATAAAAATTGAGAATTCTCTACTTTTCATTTTTGGCAAAATTTTGCAAAAATCCCTGTACTATAGTACAGGGACTTTTATCCGATTTTGGAGTAACTAAAAAAATTCGTAAAAAAATCTGATTTTGATTGGAATCAGTTCAAACTTTCTACACAACATAAGAACATGTATATGTATCAGGGAATGTTATAAAAATTGAGAATTCTCTACTTTTCATTTTTGGCAAAATTTTGCAAAAATCCCTGTACTATAGTACAGGGACTTTTATCCGATTTTGGAGTAACTAAAAAAATTCGTAAAAAAATCTAATTTTGATTGGAATCAGTTCAAACTTTCTACACAACATAAGAACATGTATATGTATCAGGGAATGTTATAAAAATTGAGAATTCTCTACTTTTCATTTTTAGCAAAATTTTGCAAAAACCCCTGTACTATAGTACAGGGACTTTTATCCGATTTTGGAGTAACTAAAAAAATCGTAAAAAATCTAATTTTGATTGGAATCAGCTCAAACTTTCTACACAACATAAGAACATGTATATGTATCAGGGAATGTTATAAAAATTGAGAATTCTCTACTTTTCATTTTTGGCAAAATTTTGCAAAAATCCCTGTACTATAGTACAGGGACTTTTATCCGATTTTGGAGTAACTAAAAAAATTCGTAAAAAATCTAATTTTGATCAGAATCAGTTCAAACTTTCTACACAACATAAGAACATGTATATGTATCAGGAAATGTAATTCGGTTTAAGTTGTTGTACATTAAAAACTTACTCTGGCAGACACTGTATGCAATGGTGGATAATTGGTCTTCAACACACCAGCCTAGAAATAATAATAATAATAATAATAATAATAATAATTAATAATAATAATTTATTATTATTATTATTACCTCGCTGACTACACTGACACTAATCTGATCAAAATCTCGTTTGTCTGGTTTGACTGGTTCAACAGGAGCAACGTCATCATTTGGGAATTTACGTTTTGAAATAGGACTCTAAAATTATACATGCTATTTAGTAATAACAATATTAATATTTACTCTTCTGATTTTATCAATTAAGTTCCCCACGGCTCCTTTACTCTTATTACTGAGCTTATCGTCACTCCTTGAATGAGGCAGTCCTGATCCAATGCCATCATTAGCAGTGTTGGAACGAGTTAGCTTAGGAGAGACCTGAGGGCCGGAGGGTTCTGAGATCTTTCGAGACGAACCAAAAAAAGAAAATTTTGACTTGGTTTTAGTAGGAGAGACAGCTTTTTGGTTTGCATCAGGTAGAGGAGGAGGAATAGGAGGAGATTCATCAGTGCCACTGTTATTTCTCTTTCTGTATCTAAAAGAGAGAGAGAGGGGGAGAGAGAGAGGGGGGGAGAGAGGGAGAGAGAGAGAGAGAAAGGGGGGGTATTGCGTTGCAGTAATAAGTACTGACTGAGGACATACGGTTTTGGTGGAGGTGTTTTGGGTCTGGGATTTTTAGTAGCATCACTGGTTCCGGTGCTAATACCAAAAGGATGTGCATAATATTCATGGCCAGAGTCTCGTGTCATCTGCTCCTCCCGCTCAAGCAACTGAATGGACTCAGCGATATCAAGCTATGAATATAATTAAAATTAATAACAACCATGTCCAACTATACTTACTGGTTTCTCGTAATAGTATCTCTTCTGTGATAAAGACACTTCCAAGTCCATGACAGTTATCAAACTCATTTCGGGAGCTGAATCTGAACTCATTCCCATTCCACCAGGACTCATTCCTGTACCGATACAACTAGGACTCATTCCTGTACTGATTCCCATACCACCAGGACTCGTTCCCATACCGGCATCAGGACTCTTCTTCTGTTCCTTATATTCTTTGCTTCCTTTTGAATATGCAGATTGTCGTCTTTGGCCACTCCCAGTGACCCCGCCCTCACCTGATACCGGCATGTCCTGATATTTCCGTCTCTCAGCTCCAGCTGGGTTGGGAGACCTGTTAGCCGGAGAATGAGTCCCTGGAGGTTTTGCTGAAGAACTCGAGGTATCTACAGACGGATTGGACTTCTTACGAAATAACGGAGACCTTGACAATGGAGATTTAGAGCCATCGGTCTGTTCCTTTGAAGTGGGTGTGGTTGACGACGCCTCCCTGTGGGTCACTTGCTGCAGCTTCTGTAACCCTCTTAAGTTGGTTTGAAGTGTCGGGACGTCAAAATGAGACATGATAGGGTACTACAAGGAGAGGGAAAGGGGAGGAGTCATCAAATATGGTCAGCATGAGGAGGACAGGTCAGCAGTTCAACTGCAAACATTGCTGAGTGTGCAAAAATCAGACACAAAATAACATTAACAGAAAACAAAGTCACATGATGTTTAAACAGCTACATCATCATCATCATCATCATCATCTTACTACATGTATATACATGTACATACCAACAATGCTTTCCCTGTTATGATAAACATTACAAAGCAATATTTAAAACCAAGCCAAGAAAAACAATGTTCTTTTGTCAAGACTTAGTCAGTCAATAATACTCTACCTGGTGCAGTTTAAGATTATACTGTACGAGTACAGCTACTTTAAAAGACTAAATGAAGTTCTTTAAATGCAAAGTTGCTAATTGGAGTGGCTTCACTTACCTAATAATGAATACAAAACCGGGTCTCCTTTCCCACCGCAATAATGAACTATACAGACAGTACGGTCACTAACAGTACTGTCTAAAATAAACTGAAGGGATGCAGGACCAATTGGCTGGTATTTGCAGGACGAATCCACCTGTTTATGAAATAAGCAAATAAGAGCAAGATCAGGCCGTCTTCTTACTTATTCCAGGCGATATAAAGTAGCTCTACAGTTCTCTGAGCAACAAAAAGAAAGAACTCGACAGCAATCTCCGTATATCAAAGTATACGGAGACGGAAGGTCATCAGTGTACTTTATTCATAGACAATGAATATCATTAAAAACCTTTTCATAGTAATACAATATTGATCTATATATTGTTCTCATTAAATATATTTATTATGTGTTTTGCTAATTAAATATTTAAGCTCCACAGATATGCTGCACAGTCTCCACCCACTGTAGCAAACTGACCACACCCCCTATCAGTGACACACCCCTCAATAGATCCACAGTGCATTTTATGAGACGATACCATTGATCCATTGATAATATTGAATAGCACAATGTATCCATGCTGTGTGGTAACTACCAGGAGGGCACTAGACTGAATAGAAAATAAAATAAAATATATGTCATTTTAAAAGTATGAGAAAACAGGGTCTTGGGCCAAATTTTGCCAAAATTGAAGAGGAGAGAATTCTCAATTCTTATAATGTTTTCTGATACATATATATATATATTTATGTTGCGTAAAAAATTTAAGCTGATTCTGACCAATTTTTTTTTATGAATTTTTAAAGTTGCTCGAAAATCGGGCCAAAGTTCCTGCACTATAGTACATGGTCTCGGGCTAAATTTTACCAAAAATGAAAAGTAGAGAATTCTCAATTTTTATAACATTCCCTGATACATATACATGTTCCTAGAAAGTTTGAGCTGATTCCGATCAATTTTGGATTTTTTAATGAATTTTTAAAGTTGTATTTCTTACTTTGTCCGGTTGCAGTTTAAAAGTTAGATAAGTTAGTGTGTGCCACCCATAGATACTCTTAGTATTCATTGTAAATAACAAATCAAATGATTCACCCTCCAACAGAAACTGGTACAGTCTAATAGTCTACATAATAATAATAATAATAATAATAATAATAATCTTATTTTTACATTCTCTTTACTCTGTCATCTGAACAAGATGCTAGCAAGCTCCGCCCATTAACATCAGCCCAATCAACACTAGTAACAGCAAGAGTGTGTCCTTTAAGAGTAGCCACGCCTATCCAAGACTCCGCCTTCCATATCCGTACAGTTTGGTCTTCAGAGCAAGTCGCTAGGTATCTATCAGTAGGGTCCCAACAAAGGCTCCAAACTTCAGCTCTATATAGTGAAGATGTACATGTACATAAAATACAGCTGGTGTGCTTACTGATGTCCTAGCTGACCAAATCGACTGTCCTTGACATCAGGCCGAGGGTAATGGGCCATGAATACACTCACAGGACAAGGAGTGGGTGGAGTGACCCCACCCTCTTTATTGTAAAGATAGACACCCACTTTACCAGAGGAAGTACCAACAGCAAAATACTAATAATAATAATAATAATAATAATAATAATAATAATAATAATAATAATAATAATAATAATGAATATAACTTAATTAATGAGACTAACCTTTCCATCACTGCTACATCTGATGTGAATTATTCCACCTTCCATTGACAAGAATGGCTGAAAGAGATGATGAGTATTATCAGTTAATGGATGGAGTTAGCTACTTTGATGTCTCCTCCGATCCTCCATAAGTGGATGGAGCCATCAAGACTACCAACAAGAACGCAATCATTATCTAACCAACACAAACATCTCACAGAACCACCAACCTAACAATAAACAACAATAAACAACAACAACAACAACAACAACAACAATACACATACGTTCCACATCTCCAGTGGTATGTATATGTCCTCGGAGCAGCTGTAAAGGTAGACATTGCCCGCCAGATCACCAACTGAGAGGAGAGAGGAGAGAGGAGAGAATGAGACACCACAGCAACTTATTTCATGAGTTGAGACTTGATGAGTAGCTGCTACTTTAGTAGGAACACCTAAAGAATATCAGTTATTATTATTATTGTTATTATTATTATTATTATTGTTATTATTATTATTATTATTATTATTATTATTATTATTATTATTACCGTTATCATTCCTCTCCATTGTACAGTATAAAAGTCGGCTAAACCCGCACAACCAAAGACCAGAAGTTGAAGACAAACTGACATGAACGATATAATCACTGGAACCAACTCTAATCTCCTGCACTGGTGAACCTACAGCAAATAATTACAATAATAATTATTAATACTTGTTACCATTTTGTACATTAATCCAGGTCAGTTTTCCGGAATCTGAAGGTAACAACAAAAGGTCTTTATCCCATGCACAAGTCCTTGATGAGAAACCCTAAAGAACCATCTCGTTATTAATTAATTAATTAATTATTAATTTCAGTACTTACAATGTTGTATATGTTAACGATTTCAAGCTCCTCCGCTGTTACCATGACAACATACCCACCCTCAACCATCAAAGCGTACAGTCCATCATGTAATGATGACATCATCAAAGTGTGGGCCTCCCTTGTACCGGACAATGAAGAGAGGGGTGTGGTCTTTATCGGTAGCCCAGTACCCCCGTCCAACAGGTGCAACTGAGTACAAGACTCCTCCCTCTCCTCAACAATGAATACATTGTTCGATGGGTTCACTTCTCCCATGTAAAAAGCATCTTTATACGAGTAGTCCTTGCCAGTCGATTGCTCAGGTGACTTGCTCCTCTGGTCATGTGACTCAATAGTTGATTCTCTTGTTTTCGAAAGGCCAGCCCTTGTACTCCACAATAGATTCAGTCTTTCTTTGTAGACTTTTTGGTCGCCATCTTCTTCCATTTTCCCATTTTCCAGTTTGTATAAAAGAGCTGAAGAGTTCCTTCCATTACCAATAATTAAAATGCAATCACTCGAAGGAGACCAACTCAACTGGAAGAGAAGGAACATTCAGTCATTATTGATCATCTCCTCCAGTACTTACTAACTTACATGAAACAAGGAGTCGATAGGAGCAATGGTTTCTGCTATGAGATCCCAAGAGCTACGACTCCATACTTTGACCTCTCCTCCAGTGCTAGCAGTTGCTATGTACTCATCATTAGGAGAGTATCTCATGCAGACGATGAGGTCAGAGTGAATCTGTCTGCTTCTGACTCTCTCTCCATTACTGAGGTCCCACCTAACCACTGAAGGACCGAGTGGAGCATCAAAAGTGAAAGGAATTTCATTTACTGGTAGGCCTGAGACGTGTCTAGCACTAGCAACTCCCCAGGAATGATTTGCAGTGAAGAATACATCAGGCTCTTTACTGGCGGCCATTTTGAATTTATTTAACTTTAATAAGTTAATTAGAACTTAATTAATCACTAACACCCACGCAATAGGTGGGGCTGGCTATCTGCAAAAGCATCTCTGCAAGCATAGATATTAGAATACAAACAAAATGAATGTAAATTTAAAATGAAGCAAGAGAAAAACAAGTAAAGAGATAAAGTCAATCATCTTCAGCTAAAGAGTTAGACATGCTTCCATACCCATGAGCAGATTTGGAATACTGATGACACTCGCTCTCTGTCTCTTCATTATTGTGGAGTCTGTACTTTCTGCTGTACACAAGAAACAACACGAAGGACACAAACATGAACACAAAGTTCATAATTAGTACATACAGCTCACAGCTGGGCACCAAAGACTCGCCGAGTTCTTTAAAGGGTTTTACCAGTAGGTAACCAGTGATCTCGTATACGCTACCGGCACTAAACCATAGTCCAATGAGCAGTCCTCTCATGGGGTGTGGAGATTGTGCAAATATGAACTCAAAGCTTCCAACATTAATCATTAGAAAACCCAATGCGTTGACAGCTTTAGGGGTTATCTCTAAATACACGTACATTTTATGTTCAGTGAGTACAGCATTAGTGAAGTTATCCGGTTGCAGTAGACATAAAGCTTCATTGCTATCATTATAAGCTGGTATGCTCAGATAGAGATCAATGATAACATACCCAAGTTTACCTAATACTGTCAGAGCAATTCCAATCCCAATCTTTTTGAGCATGCTTAGCTTGAGGAATTTGAAACAGTATGGCTTTAAGATAAACCTGTACAAAGGTACTCCGAATATTGCAACACAGTTCCCAATAAAATAAGTGCCTGATATTAGACAGTGCTTGATTGTGACTGAGTTTTCAGATGACAGACGTCCGATCAGCTGAAACGGAAAGTTAATCATTGTGATAATGCAGACTAGGGGAATGAGACGCAAAAATGTTTTGACACTTTCTACATCTTTTTCAAAAAACGGTCCACCATATTTCATTTTCCCTAAATCTATCCGAGGTGGTTTGGACTCATTTAAATAGCTCAGAGCTGATGCACTAGTAGGAGACTTATGCTTCAGTGCAAACCAAAGAACACCAGAAATGAGTTTAAGAGGATTCTTTGTGTAGCTGTACCGTATAGTCCATTTCTTAATCTTTAAAGTCACTATTATGATGACTACTAGCAAAATGAAGTGAGCTGATGCAATGTATGTATCAAAATGTCCTTGATTTTTAGAGAGACAACTTGCAACACTAGTGATCATAATACTCAAATGAACACACCAAGACCACCACCAAACATAGCTGCTCATCTCATCAGAGTTTGAAGACATCTCAACCAGTTGGTCAGCACCAAGACAGAGAAGTGATATCTCAAAAAGAACTCGCGTAACAAGAGTGATGGGATCCAGGACTGCTGTAACAAGATAACTTTTACTAGAGAAGATGAGAAAGATGAGAAAAATGAGAGAAGAAAGAGCCCCAGCAGCAGCACTGAGGATGGCAGTGTGGAGTCTGCCCAGTTTCATATCAGCAAGCAACACAAGGAGAGGCAGGAACAAGTAAAAAACAATGACACTTGAATTGAGAGTATCGTCATAAAGTTCCTTTTGGTGAGCACTCCAGTTTTGAACTGAATTGACTATTGAAGGATCAAAGAGTCTAACTAGAAACAACCACAGAAGAATAATGGTCACTGTCCATCTTTGCTTCTCTATTGCTTCAGCCATAGCTTTGCAAGTGAAAATGAAGTTGGAATTGAAAGCATGCATTGATATGCATAAGGACAACAGCAGAACTGAAAGCACATAGATTTGAGTGATAAAGTTTACCCTCTGTAAATTTACAACAACAATATCACGACTTTATTGATACTGAAAGCATATCTTATATATGTACTTTTCCAAAAATAATTTTTTAAAAAGACAATTTGTCTTCAGTTGTAATAAGAAGTGTTCAAAACGTGCTTCAATGGTTGCGATTTTCCCAAAGTTTTTGAAAGAGCAGCCAACTTGCTAGCAAATTCATCAATATTAATATAAAATCCCTATAGTACATGGGATACAGTTGGTTGGATCAGCTATTATGCTAATGTACCGCTAGGTGTCTCTGTCCTCCATTGGAGGCATAGGGTCTCCGTCCATGTAAGAACCTTCTGTTATTGAAGGAGAGGACTTCACCTGGGTTAAGACGATACTCAATCTAAAAACATGGACGACATTACATTCCAATAACAACTGATCCACTCACTATTAACGGAGAGTCATTGAACAGTTTAAACAGATTAGTATAAGCTTCATAATATTCTTCAATTTCATCCTAAAATTTATTATTATTATTATTATTATTATTATTTATTTATTTATTTATTTCATTACTTCGTGTGGTGAGAGTGTTCCTTGTTGAGCAGGTGACCAGTTTATTCCAATAACCTAATGAAAAGGTTAATTATTGAACAGACTGTCTACAACTCTCACTTGATCATTGTGATCTAGTTCAATATGAGGCTTTCTGTATTCCATCTTAACTGGGAAATCACTTTTTAAAAATTAATAATCAATTAATCAACCAGGGTCTTACCCTTTCTGTCGTATCTTCTGAAAAGGTACTTGTACTTTGGATAAGATCTCAAACTGTCTCGGGTGGGTTTCTCTCAATCGTTCAACAACTTCCAGTCCGTCCAATAGGGTACTCTCCCCTCCCTCAACACATGGATCATTCCTAATATGACAGATGAAAGTACATGTACATGTATTAAAGACAACTGTAGAAGTGATATTATGATGATGGTACCTAATACAGTGGAGTATTTGGAGTCCAGGGGGAGACTGATAATATTGAAGGTCCATGTGGAGTTCAAGACCAACTTCACTGTCTGCAATATTAGTCAACTCTTCCTTAGGTACAGCAATAACATCAAAACACTATAAACAACAACAACAACAATAAACAAAGAACAACAAACAACATCAATAAACAACATACTTCCCCATCTACTGTGCTCTGCATTTCCCCAAGTCTATGTGCTACCTACACCAGTACAGATACAGCAATGAATTCAATGATTGAAAGAGCTTCATAGACACACACTTACCTTTACGGTATGTTCCTTATCTGCTGGTACACCAGTAATGATACAGACACCTTTAGCTGATAAATGATACAACCAACTAGTGGAAGAATTTATTTATTTATCTATTTATTTATTTTAGTACTTGTACAATCCTTCATTTGATGGATCCATTATTTCCTTGTACCTCATAAAAGGTAACTTTGTCTAAAGGAATGCAAAAAGCAAATGTGACAAATATTTTGCTATTGTCTATATAAACATACAGTAGGGTGGGCTGGTGTGGCTTCCTTTCTAGCAACGATCTGATTGGACGATGGATGGTTAGATATTAACCAGTTGACATCAAACCAACCGGAATGAGCTGTCCATTCAACTAGTAACTTATCACCTGTCAACACCAAATTAACGGCAATAGATTAACAACAAGTATTTTATTTGTTTAATACCAAGTAGTTTGACTCGCTCAATATTGTCATCTCTCATGAGATGATCTGCTGTGACTGTCTTCTGCCCGCTACTGGACAAGCACTGGCTACACTGACAGTTGTGTCTCAACCATTTAACGTGATAATGAGACTCCTCGGGAGTTACTCCAGAAAAAAGAGCTAATCCTTTTCCATCAGCAGAGAGTTTAACTCTTAGACCAGCTGGCGCTTCACTAAAGGTCCTAGTATACCCAGTGGTTCTCCTTAGGAAGGAGTGAGAGTTGGTAACAAAAGCTCTCAAGAAAGAAGACATTGTTTTTGGCTCACAGGAAATCGCAGCACGCTTAGCTAGCAGCCCCACCCTTTAAAGCTTTGCATGATGTTTGTATATACACAAGTCTTTATAATTAAATTTAATCATCATCTTCTTCATCATTATTATCATTATTGCTGTTTTGCTGCACTGTTGTTCCAGTGCTTGATTCTCCTCCTCCTCCCCCTCCATCACCAGAAGCCTCTTCCTGTTCCTTAGAGCTGCCATTAGTTGTGTTAAGAGGAGGCAGTGAAGTGTTTCTTTGCCAAGAAGGTATCCCTGGAGGTAAACTGAGGTTATCCTTCTGTGGCGTAGGAAATTGGTGTCTATAAGAAAATATAACGTAATTGTACAATATCTCTTTAATTTTTATCTTCAAGAATGTTACAAAGCACCTTCATTAAAATAATGAGAATTATCAACTACCAAAAATGAGTGTTGGTAGCAGCTGGATTAATATCTGTTACCTGTTCAATAGAAGGCCCTTTAACGTTGATAGTTCTGAATTAATGGTACGCAATTCATTACTTGCTACAACATTCGACTGAAATAAAATAAATATAATAATAATTAAATAATTAATTGGTGTTACTTGTGTTGATGATAATTGAGTTATTTGCTCCTGCTGTCTTTCTAATAAAACCTAATAATTACAATTAATTAATTAATCAATTAATAATTACTGACTTTAATAGATAATGTGGTTTGCTGTAGTTCTTGCACTACAAAAAATAATTAATAATAATGAATATTAATTAACTAATAATAATAATAATAATGAATATTAATTAACTAATAATAATAATAATAATGAATATTAATTACTGGTAGTTTCCAGTGTGGTTCTTATTTCTTGAACTCTTTCCTCCAGCACTTGATGCCTCTCTTGTTGGACCTTTAAACTATCAAACCACTTTGAAACCACACCCTATCAATTAATTAATGAAACCACACCCCATTAATTATAATCATTACTTTGATCCAGTATATAAATATTCCAAACATGCTTCCCACTAGCACCCCACGAATGACCAGATGAGTTAGGGTAGGTGTGGCTTGAGTAGGTGTGGTCAGTGCTAATGAGGTGGGAGGGGCTGGTACAGCTAACGATGGGGCTGGTCTTGAAGCAGCTTCTTGTCTTACCCAATAAATCTCTTCTTCATTTAATCCTAAAATTAAAAAAAAATAATAAATTACATGCTTAAAAAAATTATAACACTTTTATCTTAACCTTTTTTGTTTAGAAATGCAATTTTATCATCGTCATTACTGTTAACGACTCTTGGATTTATGAGAAATTTAACAGCAATATCTAACTAAAAATAAAATGCCTCAGTTGTCATTTAATAATAGTAGATCTGATAATTTCATTGACTACATACCAATTTCTGTCTCTCAGGCAGTAACCTCCTCATGAATTCACTGTAAGACGAGTCACGAGGAACAAATGAACCTTTAATTGGATCTGTTGAAGCTCCATTAACCTCAGGAGAACTAGCAGCTGAAGTACTTTCTGAACTCATTGCTGCCATGTGCCAAACCACACCCACAATGAATAAATAATTAACCACACCCACTCAATAAATTCAGGTTTTTCTACTACATGTATTCTTTATTTTCTAATACATATACCTGTACTTGTGATGTGTAGAAAGTTTGAGCTGATTCCGATCAAATTTGGATTTTTTATGAACATTTAAAGTTACTCCAAAATCGGACAAAGTCCCTGTACTATAGTACATGGTCTCGGACCAAATTTTGCAAAAAATAAAAATTTGAGAATTCTCAATTTTTATGATATTTTCTAATACGGATACATTTCTTATGTTGTGTAGAAAGTTTGAACTGATTCTGATCAAATTTGGACTTTTTACAGGCCTTTGAAGTTACTCCAAAATCAGAAAAAAGTCCCTGTACTATAGTACATGGTCTCGGGCCAAATTTTGCCAAAAATGAAAAGTGGAGAATTCTCAATTTTTATGATACTTTCTAATATGCATACATGTTCTTATGTTGCATAGAAAGTTTGAACTGATTCCGATCAAATCTGGACTTTTTACGAGCTGTTAAAGTTGCTCCAAAATCGGACAAAAGTCCCTGTATTATAGTACATGGTCTCGGGCCAAATTTTGCAAAAAATAAAAATTTGAGAATTCTCAATTTTTTAAATATTTTCTAATACAAATACATGTTCTTTTGTTGTGTAGAAAGTTTGAACTGATTCTGATCAAATCTGGACTTTTTACGGGCCTTTGAAGTTACTCCAAAATCAGAAAAAAGTCCCTGTACTATAGTACATGGTCTCGGATCAAATTTTCCCAAAAATGAAAAGTGGAGAATTCTCAATTTTTATGATATTTTCTAATACAAAATACATGTTCTTATGTAATGATTTTGAGTTAATTTTGGTTTATTTTATTGAATATGAGTTATCTGAAAACTAGGTATTTACATTCTTAATATTTAACAGGCTATTAATAGAACATAAGCTATTAATAGAACATGAGCTATTAATAGAACACAGGCTATTACTGCAGAGTGTTCAACCAGCTGGTGACATCTTCAATTTCTGGAGTACAACTACTCTCATCTCCAGTTCCCCTGGCACTGCAAGATGTTATTGTTATATTATTTGGTGAATCCTCAAAGGAGAAGGTTTGCTCATCATTTCTGAGTAATTCGACTTTCTTTCTTTCTTTGCTTTGATCAAGGGAAGATAATTTTACCGATTGACTTGTTAATATTTGAGTTCTACAAAAAATAACAACATTAAAAAATGATTTTCAATTTTCAACTTACATTTCATTTTCTAGTTTCGTTCGTATGTCTTCAGCACTTGATGCCAAAGCTAAATCTTTAAAAAATAAAATTAATTAATTAATAAAACTAAAGCCCCGCCTACCTTGTTTATTACAAGCAATGATGATTGGAATCCTTTTCCGGTTAACCCTTGGTTCGGATAATAAATCAATTAATAAATGAGCTACATCCCTTGATTGAAAATTAACGCTATCAATGAGTATGACCACACCTCTTTTAAAACAAAAAACAGCAGTACAGGAGGAACAACATTAAATTGATCCTTACAAAAGTGCTTCAATGTACTGCTGGAATACTCTTTGTCTAATTCGCTCGTCTCCAGGAACATCTACCAAGTCTATTTCGGTAGTAGAACCTTTCTAGAGAAAAGGAGCCAAATGGAACTGATCATAAAATCAATAAAATGTACTTTGGTTGTGATGGAATAATTTGCTTTGTTTTCTTTCATGGAGGTCTGCGTACGTGCAAAACCGCCACTAACCAGCTAGAAGTAAATATTCATAAAATACATTAAATATAATGCCAGCTGCTCACTCTCATGAAGAGAAGTGTCTTTCCACTGTTGCTGAGTCCCAGGAGACAAACTACACGACCTTTGGACCTCCCCCGCAGACAAAAACAAGCAAATACTAAGAAGAAGGGGCTGATTCAATCAATAGAATGTTCTCTTACCTAAAGAACTTATTATAATGACAAGAAGAGCAATCCCAATGGCCAATGGCTCCATTGTGGGCATCAATGAGGGGAGGGGCTACGCAAGAAAGGGATTTTTAATTTTCCCGCGAAAATTTCCCGGCAAATCTCCCGCCTACTCACGAAAATAATTTATAATGAGCCACGCCTACTTTGATTAGCCATGCTGTACCTCGTTGGTCTTGGGCTTGGAGAAGTTACTGATGTTACTGTGAGAGGCCTTGAGGTGATCAAGAAGGCGAGTAGGGTCTATTTGGAAGCATACACGTCTATACTGGCCGGAGTGAATGTACAGGAACTGGTAATCTATTCAGTAATATTTATTTATTTACAAGTATATTCATGTATTGGAGCATTCTGTTTGGTGTTTTATTTTCAGGAGAAGTTTTACGAGCGACCAGTCATACCTGCAGACAGGGAGCTGGTAGAAGAACATGCTGGTACTGTCAATCAGTTTAAATTTATATTTAATTGTCCTCTTCCTGTAGATGAAATACTCAATGGAGCTGATACTGCTGATGTTGCTTTTTTAGTCGTTGGTGATCCTTTGGGGTAAGTGCTACTCCTTTTCTCTATTTTATTAATTATTTTGTTCCAAACAGAGCAACGACTCACTCTGATCTCATTATCAGAGCTAACGAGAGGGGCATACCCTACAGACTGATACACAATGCTTCCATTATGAATGCCATTGGAGCCTCTGGTCTTCAGGTAATGACCAATACCAATTGAAACTAGGTCTCCTTATCAAAGCAGCTGTATAATTTCGGAGAAACAGTCTCGATACCTTATTGGACTGATTCTTGGAGACCAGATAGTTTTATTGATAAAATAGAAGAGAATCTGCTCCGTGGACTTCACACCCTCTGTCTCCTAGGTAACCATTATTAATAGATATTAATTAATGATCATTATATTAATAGATATTAAAGTGAAGGAGCTATCAATAGATGCACTAATGAAGTGAGCCTGTTTATTGTTGTGGGTGTGGTTATTTATCGTTTACTTGTAGAGGTAAACGTGAGTACGAGCCAGCAAGATACATGACTGTTGATATAGCAGCTGATCAACTGCTAGCTGCCATTGAAAAAAGAAAAGACAATTTAAAATGTAAGCTACTTAAAGTTTTGTTATATTTTGAATTAATTTCTTAGGTCTAAATGCAGACAGACTGTGTGTAGGTGTGGCTAGAGTTGGTTCGACCAATCAGATGATAGCAGTTGATACGTTGAGATCCATTAATGGGTGGAGCTTAGGAGAACCACTACACTCACTAGTGATAATAGGAAGGACACACCCTCTGGAGGATAAAATGTTAAAAATTGTAGCAAATGCAACAAAAAAATAATATTTTAAATAATAATATTATTAATAAATAATATGACATGTGAGCTGAGTGATTTGATTGGTCAGTTCCATCATTGGGTGAGAGGTGTGGCTGGATCTTCTCTACACGTGTCCAGTTGGAAATGGCTGCTCGATTCATTCAAGCTTCAAGTAAAGGTTCAGGAGTCATTGCAGTAGCAGTTGCGTTAGGATATGGACTCTATCAATCAGTGTATACGGGTAAGACATTGTATGAAGTAGCCATCTTAAATATAAACCTTTATTATCTCTCTAGTGGAAGGAGGATACAGAGCAGTAATGTTTAGTAGATTAACAGGAGTACAAGAAGATGTTAAAACCGAGGGACTTCACTTTAGGTAACAATAATTATAATTATTAATGAATATTAATTTGAGTTCACGCCCACACAATGCGTGGGTGGCTCCGGTATTTAATATTATATTGCCCCCGCCCCCCAGGGTGCCTTGGTTCCAGTGGCCGATATTTTACGAGATAAGAGCACGTCCTAAGCTCCTCCAGTCCCCGACTGGCAGTAAAGACCTTCAGATGGTGAACATTGGTCTGAGGGTTCTCTACAGGCCGGAGGCCAGTCGCCTCCCTAACCTGTACAGGCAGTTAGGTCTTGACTATAGCGAGAGGGTACTGCCATCTATATGTAACGAGGTGGGTGTGGTTATGGACAGGGCTTGAGTTTTTTTCTTTTCAGGTGTTAAAGGCAGTCGTAGCTCAATTTAATGCATCACAGCTGATAACCCAGCGAGCTAATGTTTGTTATTATTTAAGTACTTTTTAAAGTTTTTATTAATTCTTTAGGTAAGCTCTTTAGTAAAGGAAAATCTAACTGAACGTGCCAAAGACTTCAATATAATACTTGATGACGTCTCGCTGGTGCGTATTAGATAAGTTTGAACATGGTTCTCATCTCTCTCTCATTCTTTAGACTGATCTTAGCTTCAGTCGTGAGTATGCGGCTGCTGTAGAGTCTAAGCAGGTGGCACAGCAGGAGGCACAGAGAGCTCAATTTGTAGTTGAAAAAGCAAAGCAGGAGCGTCAGGAGAAAATGGTTCGAGCTGAAGGAGAGGCTCAAGCTGCCCACATGATATCCTTATTTTAAAAATAATTGTTTACAAAAAAAGTTACTTGAAATTATCCTTGACTGGGATTTACTTAGGTATGTCTTTATCTCAGAACCCTGGGTTTCTAAAGCTACGTAAGATTCGTGCGGCCCAAGCTATTGCTAGTGTCGTAAGTTAAATGCTAACGTTACATAAAGTTCTTTTTTATTGATGATTGGTGATGGTATTTGTAGATTTCTAGTTCTCAGAATAGAGTGTATTTAAATGCTGAGACTTTAATGCTTAACTTATCACATCTTGGCCTTGACGACGTGTAAGTCTGACCTTCCTCTCACCTTGTATACTTCAGTATACTAACATTTACTGAGTATACTGGTTATTTTAATGAGTGTACTAACATTTTCCTTTTTTGTAGCGGGTTTTCTCTTAAAAAGAAGTAGCAGCTGTCACAAGTTGAAAGTATCAAGAATCAAAACAAATTGTCCAATTTAGTAATTTTGTTGATTGTAGTTGTATATACTGTACTGTATAATTATCATCAATTGTTCTAAAACTAATAATAATAATAATAATAATAATAATAATAATAATAATAATAATAATGGAATGCTATGAGTTATATTGTATTATACACAAATTCTTCTTTGCTAACGGGAGTGGCTGCCTTCTCTCTGAACAGGTTCATCGGCTGCATTGGTTCATGAGGCAGTTTCTTCCATTCAAGATGCAATTCGTGTTTTCGTTGCATCGCTATCAAATGTTCCTCCAGCTCTTTGTCTCGCTCTTCAGGATCTTCGTACAAATACTCTATCCACTTGGACTGGATCCACTTGGTGCTAAGTGTCGCCTAAGGGAAGGAGAGTTGATGGATGCAGTGGAGGGAGGAACTAACTGGAGGTTCTTCGTCTTTGGGTTCTTCAGGTGGTCCAGGATTTGTCAATGGATTGTGGAATAAAGTCTTGTCGCTGTCTTTCCAAGGAAACGGCTTGAGAAAGAAAGATCACTTACTGCAGTGGGACATTTAAGAAGATATTTCTTACTTTATTCCTAATTCTCATGTGAGACCAAGGTATGTACTCTCTCTGTTCATGATGGCCTTCCTCAGCTGGAGAAAGAGAAAGAAGCACTTGTATTAAAGGGTTTTTTAAGTGTGCAAACATCTCAAAAAGATAATAATAGATGAAATGAATTTAAAAACAGACTGAGGACTCACTTATTATTAATTTCCACGTTAAATACGACACAGCTGGTATTGCAACAAACAACGACTAATAAACAAATAAAACAACAACAACAATATGAGGGTGTGGCTTAATAATGATAAACAAAAACAGCTTACAATTCTTTTCCACAACTTCATTACTTGTCCAGCATGCACCTGCTCCTCCTCGACCCTCTTGGAGTAGGCAGAGAAGACTAGAAGAACACAAAATGGTTAGGACAAACAAGGACCCGTTACTTACAACGCCTTACTAAAAGAGACCTGTACACAGTCGCCATGACAGTTTTCAGGGTAAAGAGAATACGGTGCTAGAATACGGAAAATGACCCAAAGTGTTCATTTGTTTCAATTTTTGTTGACACTCTATCTATTGTCTTTTTCTAGCACTACTCAACACTTATTGTTCTCTTTTTAAATGTAAGAGAAAAAATTAGTCATTTTTAGCTAGCAAAAGCTGCAAAAAATACGATTCTTTCTGCAAAAGTTTTTAATGGGAGGGGCTAAGTAGCTTCTGCGCATGCGCAGTAGCTCGCTTGTGTATGTACTGGAGTCTCTCTCCATGCAGAACCAGCAAAGGAAAAACTTTCTTTTTCATCATAGAAAGGAGACCCTGTAGACTCCAGTCTCCCTCAGACTCCACCAAGGAGAGGCAATATTCGCAGTATCTCTCATTAGTTCTGCACTATACACGGCCTGGTCCCTGCTAGGACAAGTATTTTCAAACTACATTGTGTCCTCCACTCCACTTTGCTTGAGTTGGGTACACCTCTAAGTATTGAAGATACTCTCCACACGCAGTGATTTTTAAGTATGTTCAAGTACTGCACAATGCTTATTGTTAGAGGTTTCTTTGTGTTGGCTCTAGAGAATAACATAATCTTAAGTTTAAATTATGCTGCCCTGCCTGCAGAATCCTTGTATTTTTAAACTTTATATATTGATATTGGGCGATACCTTTAGCATGGGGCCTTTGTGTTTTAAATTCAAATTTTATTATTTTACAATGTAAAAAATGTGGCTGTACTTTTTATATGTGATGAAAATAGTTTCATTTTTACTTTCCATTATGACTTTTCTTCAGTTTATACTTTATGAAATAAATCCCCTCGTTTAGTTAGTGGTTTTAATGCTTCTCTCTCTCCTCTCTCTCTCTCTTTGCTTCTCCTCTCCAGATGGAAGACAGTAAAAGTCAAGAAGAGGTGACAATCATCGATAAAGATGAGAGCTCTGAGAAGGTACTCAGTGTAGTTGGTGGCTTTGTCATTGAGGAGAGCGTTAACCCCTTTCCCGTGAGGCCATGCACTTTTTATATCAACACACTCACTCTCTCTCTCTCTTACACCTTTTGCTGCATAGCATGATAGTCCTTTTATACATGTAATTCTTTTGTGGAATTTTAAATAATTTTGTACACACTTCTGTTTAATCTCTCTCTCTCTCTTTTTTGTAGAAGAGTAAACTGTCCTTTATACCTGATGAATACGGGAAGAAGGATTCATCAACTCATCACTCTCGACTTAGAAAGCGTGAGAAATGTATTTTTCTCTTTCTCCCCTTCTCTCCTGTTGTTGATGATAATTGTTATTGTTTGTTTATTATTCATTTTATTTATTTATTTATTTATTTTATTTATTTATTTAGACCCAACTGTGAGGCCTGAAGACCCATCCCTACCTCCTGGTCACGCCAGGTGCGAGTTTTGTGGAACTGTCGGCATAATTGAGGACTTTCTTGCACCAAGCAGGAGGTGTGTATTATATAGTGCCAAGATATTGTCAAAATTCCTTTTTTCTTCTATTTGTCAGCAAAATTTTGTGTGTACATAATAAACCTCTCTCTCTTTCTCTCTCCCCCCCCTCTCTCTCTCTCCCCCCTCTCTCTCTCTCTCCCCCCTCTCTCTCTCTCTCCCCTCTTTCTCAGGTTTTGCACTGTGACATGTTGTAAAAGGTACAGTGCTGAGAAGAGATACTATCCTTATGGGCGGGATGAAGAGGGCGTGGCTATGTCTATTAAACAAGGTCTTGTTAATAGACACCGAACCCTAAGACCAAACTCATCCAAACCAAGAAAAGTATGTCCTTATGGGTCCCTGTTACCGTGGGATTATCTCTTTTCCCCTTATAGTCCAGTCAGCAGCAGCACCAGTCTTCCAGTGCTAGGGATGAAAGAAGGAGACGATTGGCGTACTATTCTACTGCCGCTAATGCCACGCCTCCTGAGGCCACACCCAATGTGTGTAAAATTGAATAAATATTTCGTTATTATTTGTAATGTTTTATAGAATAGGAAGAGACCTGCAAGAAAGACCCCATCATCTAACAATACACCAACCACACAAGTGAGGATAAATATTACTGATAGTTCAGTGTATTTTATAATAATCAGGAGGAGAGAATTTGCCATTTTTATAACATTCCCTGATACATATACATGTTTTTTTTGTTGCATGAAAAATTTGAGCTGATTCCGATTAAAATTGGATTTTTTACAAATTTTTAAAATTGCTCCAAAATTCGATAAAAGTCCCTGTACTATAGTACATGGTCTCGGGCCAAATTTTGCCAAAATTGAAAAGTAGAAAATTCTCAATTTTTATAGCATTTCCTGATACATATACATGTTCTTATGTTGTGTAGAAAGTTTGAGCTGATTCCGATCAAGATTGGATTTTTTACGAATTTTTAAAGTTGCTCTAAAATCGGATAAAATTCCCTGTACTATATAGTACATGGTCTCGGGCCAAATTTAGCTCAAAATGAAAAGTAGAAAATTTTCAATTTTTATAACATTCCCTGATACATATACATGTTCTTATGTTGTGTAGAAAGTTTGAGCTGATTCCGATCAAAATTGGATTTTTATGAATTTTTTAAGTTGCTCCAAAATTTTGCCAAAAATTTTCTGATGCTCATACATGTTCTTATGTTGTGTGGAAAGCTAGCTGATTTGTTGCCATTAGCAGAAAAAAGCAATAACTATAGCCTTTGCTTTTTTTCAAAAAATTCCTGTAAAACATTCCCAATTTTACGACATATCCTGATACATTACCTTGTACATGTTCTTTTAGGTAGCCACTGGCGAACAAAGACCAAACTCCTCCTTCTTTGAACGTAAGCCACTTTTATAATACTATCTTTATAAATTCTTCTTTCCTTTAGCTTATTCCCATCCTCTTGGTTCTACAATTCGTCAGTGGTCAGTGGACGACGTCTCAGAGTTTTTAACGTTCCTCGGGTACGAAGCTTACATCGATAAGTTTCAGGAACATGAGATTGACGGGCGGGCCCTCTCTCTCGTCAAAGATCACCACCTGCTAATGACTCTCAAACTTCGTCTTGGCCCAACTCTTAAAATAGTCGAACACGTCAACTTGTTAAAGATGATCGAAGAAATTGAAGATTGATGAATCAACAAAAACTGTCACTCACACATGCATGTAGTTAGATGTGGGTGTGGCTTGACCACACCTACTTTGGGGTTAGCCCTATGTTTTGCAGTATCAATCATCAGTTTGTTTGTTCTTAAATCTCTTTTCCTCTTTGACCTCTCTCCCCCCCCTCCCTCTTTCTAACACTGAACGTACTAAGTCTTACAGAAATCAATTATAATATTAATTAAAATTATAATAATAATTATAACAATTACTTATTGGGAAAAAATCTTAAACTTATTTTTAACTAAATGAAGAAAGATTTCATTCTTGCTCTGCAGAAAAAATAAGTAATTAATAATAATAATAATAATAATAATGGAGGACTTTTAAATGCTCCTTCTCTCACTGTAGTTTGTGTCCCTGGAGTACGTCTAAAGTGTCGTTGGTGTTGTTGATGATGAGACGAGTGAGAGGGTCCATCATTTGAGGGGATCTCCCTCCCTTGTCCCCTCCCATGGGATACGGGATGGTCCCATTCACACCTCTGTTACCATGGGAACCATCCCCAGCCGAAGCAGCAGCTGCAAACACTTGTAAAAACTCTGTCCCTTGAAACGGGTTGGAGAGGTCTTGAGTTGTAAAGGAAGACACTTTGTCTTGTGGAAGACCACCAGTTCCCATGGAGACAGTCTCTACGAAATGCTCCCCGTCGTCATGGTGATTACTGACCACACCCCCAGGCCCAGCAGTGAGAGATGAGAGTGAAATATCTTCGTAGATCCTGAACGACTCGTCTTCCATCGTGTGGTCATCATGAATGGGCTGGTCTTGGTGAGGGATTGACCCGTAGTCCTCATTATCAATATCCTTATGAACCAGTCTACAGTGGTTAGCGAATCGTGTCAAGTCGTGGAATATCTCATTGCAGTGTTTGCACTTATGGACTCGGTCACGTCTGTGAGCGTTTATATGCGCCCGGAGGTAGTCCCCACGGGCGTACTTACGCCCACAGATATGACAAGAGAAGGGTTTCTCCCCAGTATGAATCCTCATGTGTCGTCTCAAGTGGGTGGAGCGTATGAACTTACGTCCGCAGACCTCACAATGGAAGGGTCTCTCTATGGACTCTGGTGGCGGCTTGTTAGAACTTGAGGCTTCATTCAGGAGAGACTCGGACTTGAGGATCTGAGAAACAACTTCAGCTGCATCAAGTTCGGATTGAGTTGCCTCTGAAGAAGGATCTACCAGTGCTCGGGCATCTTCAGGCGTTGCCACAGCAGCAAGGAGGTGGAGGTTAGTCCCTAGCAGTACCGGGCTCTCAATATCAGACACACCCCCAAGAGAGTTGAGTGGGTATGGTCCATGTGGTGTGGTGGGCGGAGTTTGAGAGGGGGCCTGCCCAGCAGGTGGGTGGTTCTTCCGTCGGTGACGGTCGAGGTGAGAAGCTCGATCAAACTCCTCCCCACAAAGCAGGCAGCGATAAACAACGTTACCGTGAATAACGGAATGACGGTTAAGATGATCGGCACGATGGAATCTCTTCCCGCAGTACTGGCAAAGAAACTTCTTAGTTTCCGGGTCAGGATGTGATAAAATGTGCGTCTGGAACTTTATTTGAGCGCTAAACCTCTCCCCACAGACCTGGCACGATATTATGAGGTCTTTGGAATCACTGACCACGCCCCCAAGGACAGGTTGAGAAATGTGGCCACTAGCGACAGGCAGGGCAGTCTGCTGCTGTATAAAAGCTAGTCTTTGGGTCGGAAGAGAAAAAGAAGATATGAGATGATTCATGAAACTGCCTGATTGACTTGCCAGTGCTAGTTTAAGGAGGGTGTGGTCATTTTTAGCGTCTATTTTCGTCTCTAGGCTGAAGAAATCTTCAATTTTCGTGAAATCAACATCACCTCTTGACTCAGGCAGAGTATCTTCTTTGGCAAAAGGGTTCTCTACGGAGAATATTTCATCGGCAAGGAAGAACTCCTCTGGGGGTAGGAGGAGTTCGGGTGAAGGAGCGACTAGTTTAGGGGGTGGGGCAGAGGTGGAGCTTAAGGAGGACTTGACAATTTGGAGTTTCTGATCTGGCGAACCAATCAAATCATCTAATTCTGGAGGGAGGGGGAGAGAAAGCATATGAACTATTGTACAACTTTAATTTATCGTCTGTCAAATATTTCGGTTTTTAAAAGAGTTCCTTCTTATTTATAATAATTATACAGTAAATGTATAATGTACTGTCATCCTTTTGCTATGATCCACTAGCATACAATAGCTCATGGATAACTTAAACTTGAGCATGAACTTGATGAAATTTTTAACAGACGAATTGACAAAAATTTGGAGCCATATATATATATATATATATACACAAATTTACATAAACAAATAATAATAATTATAATAAATTATTATTAGTAGTAGTAAGATAATGTTCCCCACTCTTACTTGGTCGCTGTATCTCATACACAAGAGCAGCTCTTAGTCTATCCTCCACAGCAGAGACTACCTTCTGTCTCGTAGCGAGAAACCTCCTCGGCATAATCAGCTCCAGAGAGAGAGAGAGACAGAGCTTAATCCTGCAGAAAGTGAAGAAGAATGAGAAAAATGGAGTTCTTAGTTAGAATGCAGTAGCAAAATACAATATAGCGAAGCAGCCATACTTTTGGGATGCCTGCATGCACAAGGCTGTAAGCTACAAGCAGTCGCGTTTGCTGCTCTAGCCTCCTACTTAAACCAAAACCGCTCCTTAAAGATATCAGCGTGTCTTGCTTTAACTTACACTGAAGGAGGCTAGCTCCCAGCGGGAGGGTGAGCTCCTGTTAATAAGGGAAGGGTACAAAGGGAGGGGATGGTGTTTTGGAGGGCCTGCTGTCTCTCGCCTGCACTTTTACTCGAGGAAAGGGTAAGCGCCTAGAACGAGCGCCATTGATTAACTCACAGGGAATGGGCGTGGTCCCATAAATGGGTGTGGCTAATACAGAACCGACCAATCAGATTCTCTCCTGAAAAATGCAATAACTTGCCTCATCAAAGGCCCGCTCTTTCTCTTTGTTTATGCAAAAAACAAATTAGATTACTTTTCTTAATATTATTGTTATTATTATGAGCTAAAGCAGGAAAAATAATCAGAATAAATAATCATAATTTAATCGTTATTTATCTATCATCTTAAATCAGACCCCGGTCAGCTTTCCACTTGTTAATTCTTCCTAAAAGCTCCGTCGCTGGTTGGAGCATATCTATCGTGAGTCTCTGCCTGTTAAACGGATCCTGAGACGAGTTGAGGAGGTGCCTCACTATAACAGGACGGTCTACAATAACTCCACTAGGCAGCTGTACAGGATCATTCATGAGAGTATCCATAATGGGGTCTAAGAGGAGGAGAGAGTAATCTTTACTATTCATTAGGATTACAAGACAGACTGTCTTCCCCAGACACTACATGCCAATTAGTTCAAATAATTACTTGCTACCACCACCTGCTCCAGCAATTAATTAAGCACAAGAGGCAGCTGCTACATAATCATGTACATGTACATGTACAAGTGTAGCTATTATAATTATCATAACAGTAAGTGTACTCCTCCTCTGTATGTAGCATACCTTTGAATTCATCGGGTACATCAGAGATGACAATCTCTTGTCTCATGCACACAACTGCCTCTGCTTCAACCTTTTGAACAAAAGCTTGAAACCTCTCAATAGCCTCCTAACAAGAAAGAGCCACACTACATGTACATGTACATATATGTACTCACTTTACTCTTGATCCCCCTGTTATATAGTATCCTAATGCACTGGTCAAACAGTTCTTTTCTGTAGGATCTGTCGTCCATTACAATGGCTCTAGCTAGCCCGTCACCATCAGAAAGATGGAGGTATATATCGGTGAGTAGATCAAGGAGTGTCTTTGGAGAGAAATTGTATTTCTCTGGCTCTTCGACCTAAAGAGAAAAAAAAACGCAACAAACTAGCCTCAATACATAATGGACACTGTGTCTTTTATGTGGAGGTTATTTTATATAGTAAGGAATGTAATTGGTACACTAGGTGCTGTCCGTTAAATGGAGGTGTACGCTATAGAGAGTGTCTGTCAGTTAAAGTGGTACATTTTATGACAATCTCAAAGTGTGTCTCCTTATAAATCAGCAATGGCTATCAGGGTATGTCTCTTCTTTATTGCTTATGTCTACCACTTCTTCAAACAAACAGTCACTTTATCATAATCAAGAAGAGATACAGTAGATACACTATAGTGTACGCCATTATCATACATTATCATAACTACTGTACATTGTACATATACAGAGTACGTGTACTATAAGTATAGATAACTCTAGGAGTGTGTGTGGTTTGTGTCTTGGCAGAATGAAGATACTATAAGTGTACACTCAGTCAAACTGTCTCAGCCTCACTATATATAAACCATCCATCGTATACATGTACATGTATATTTCAAAAGTACATGTACTTTTGTCCTTAATACAGAGGTGTCCTCATTTCAGAGGCACTTTTTGTATAGGTTTGTACCAAATGGGACATTACAAAATGTCCTCATTATAAGGTAAAGTTTAAACCAACCTTTAATCCGCTGCATTTCGGACCACACAGCTGCTGAAGGTTAAAGTTCAGCATTGAGCTGACACGTACGACCATTTCCTAATTAAAGTGGGTGGAGCATTAGGGTATTGAAACCAGATGAGCAGGTTAGTCTTACAGGTCTAAGGAAAGGTTGTTGAATCTCTTTGCTGAGGTAGTGGAATGTGGTGAGGGTCTCAGTAGCCAGAGTGAGATAAGAGCGACACTGCCTCTCATCTTGAGCTAACTGGTGGAGTCTTGAATCCTGCATGGACTATAGAGAAGAACAATTTAAATAATTGAGAATTCTCTACTTTTCATTTTTGATAAAATTTGGCCCAAGACCATGTACTATAATAGTACAGGGACTTTAGCCTAACTTTAGAACAATTTAAAAATTCGTAAAAAATCCAAATTTGATCGGAATCAGCTCAAACTTTCTACACAGCATAAGAACATGTATATGTATCACGGAATGTTATAAAAATTGAGAATTCTCTACTTTTCATTTTTGGCAAAATTTGGCCAGAGACCATGTACTATAGTACAGGAACTTTTACCCGATTTTGGAGCAACTTTAAAAATTCGTAAAAAATCCAAATTTGATTGGAATCAGTTCAAACTTTCTACACAACATAAAAACATGTATATGTATCAGGGAATGTTATAAAAATTAAGAATTCTCTACTTTTCATTTTGAGCAAAATTTTGCAAAAGTCCCTGTACTATATATAGTACAGGGACTTTTACCTGATTTTGGAGTAACTTTAAAAATTTGTAAAAAATCCAAATTTGATCAGAATCAGCTCAAACTTTCTACACAGCATAAGAACATGTATATGTATCAGGGAATGTTATAAAAATTGAGAATTCTCTACTTTTCATTTTTGGCGAAATTTGGCCAGAGACCATGTACTATAGTACAGGGACTTTTACCCGATTTTGGAGCAACTTTAAAAATTTGTAAAAAATCCAAATTTGATCGGAATCAGCTCAAACTTTTTACACAACATAAGAACATGTATATGTATCAGGGAATGTTATAAAAATTGAGAATTCTCTACTTTTCATTTTGAGGAAAATTTGGCCCGAGACCATGTACAGTACACAAGAACATGTATCATGTTAATATAAATTGAGTTGGTGAAGCTGTGCAAGGCTCCTCCTACCTGAGGTTGACTGGCCCACCCTCTCTCGTCCTTCATTGCCTCCTGGGTCTCATGGATCGACTTCAAAGTGTCCAACGACTCGTCCAAGAGGAACGTGGTATCATTAATCAACATGTTCACGAACCTCACGAAGGGGGCGCCGTCACGACTGTTACTAAGGAAATAAATAAGGTAATTTGATTGGTCAAAAACCAGAAACATGTTGTATTATTAGCTAACCTGCTTTCCGATAAAAAGGTTCTTCTGTGTTCAGGATTCTCCCAAAGGAGCCGCAGGATTACTGAGAGATGATAACGGACGGAAAACTTATCATAAAACTCATTACTACCTCCCATATTCTCACAATCTAAACAACAACAACAACAACAACAACAACAACAACAACAAGAGTGCTGATAATGTTATTGTTTGTGTTTACCAATGTAGAGTCTCATTAAAGAGGACGCAAGGGATGACGTTGATAATGGATGAGAGAGAAATAGATCAAAAAGAGTGTGATTATAGTCCTGAACACCAGGTGTATTGAGGAATATCAGCTGTAGAGAATTACATGTACAGAATGAGACCGTATTAAAGTATGTTGGAACATGTGGAGCTTACTTCAGCTAGTTTAGCAGTGAGGTAAGGATTGTTGATATACTTTGGAGTAGCTAGCAATAGCACAGTTAGGACTGTTACTGGAATAAAACTAGATTCATCCAGAACAGCAGGAGAAAACCTAATGGAATAAAGAAAGAGAGAGAGGAGGGGAGGGAGGGAGGGAGGAAGAGGAGGTTTGGTCCATTGCCTTACAAAATGGCTACCTACTGAGAACAGAATATATAGAAATCAGTCATATCTTCAAGGAAGAACTCTGGAAGCCCAGCAAAGGTCTGAGGGGGAGTCTTAGGTAATGGAAGAGAAGGACTACGAGAAACCATAGCAACGGTAACATAGCAACGGTATCATGGAGGTTGTGAGAGTCTTACTCGTTATCAGAGGAGAGTAAAGAGATCATCCATTGGGTACAGGTGGAGTAGTAATGGCTGCACTGATGGAGGAACTCTCTGTCCGCCACGAGAGAGTCCCAGTTTGACTTCCAGCGAGCCATTACCTGGTAACGCTCCTTCGCTTTGTCAGGAACTGGTCGCTGTAGCAACCGACTCTCTTCAATCATCTAAATGAATAGTTATTAATGGTTATTAATGGTTATTAATAGTTATTAATGGTTATTAATGAATAGTTAATTAACCTGTGAGAGTTGCCTTATGTCCCTCATCCCTTGCTTGTACCTCCTGATGACTGGGGAGACAGAGAGGTGGTGACATTCAGCTGTCATGAAGAAACACTCAGTAGGAAACTTGACTGGTTTTGAGCTTATTTCTAATAATAAATAATAATAATAATAATAATAATAATAATAGTAATAATAATAATAAAATTATAGTGACAATACCTTTTACTCTTTTCCATTCTTCCAGTTGTTTCTCAGAGCAGCCTAATCTCGTCTCTTGGGTAAAAGGGACTCTACAATCAGATCTTAGAACATACTGAGCATCAACCTAACAAAGGAAGCACATACAATGTACATGTTCATGCATTGTGACTTTAAACTAACAGTGCTGGTTTTAACTTTGTTGTTCAGCTGCTGCATTATGTGGAGGAGGTTAAGCATGAATCCATCAGTTGAGACTAGCCTCCTGTCTGACAGCAGCTGGGACTTTTTTGAATTAGCAATCAATAGCTGGCTCAAATAGTTCAAGGTGCTATCACGTGTTTCCGTACAACGAAGCAAAGAATGAATCACCTTGAACATCTCTTCCTGTTAAGAGACGATAAAAGAAGAGATACAATTTAAAACAAACTTCTCTCCCTCCCTCCCTCCCTCCCCTCACTCTTGATGCATTAAGTGTTTGGACTATAGCCATGCCCAGTGAATGAGCCTCGTGTGCTGACGACAAACTCTCAGACAAATAATGATTTTTGACTTCAACCTGGCGGAAATATGATGTAAAATATTCTTAATAATATTATAAATACATACACTGTCTTCTACAAAGCCCGAGAGAGAGAGAAAAGGTCCGAGGAAAGTTTCATTTTGGAATTTCCGACCAGATTTAGAGGATTCACCTAAAGGCAGCCATCTTTCATTATTAACAACCTGAGAAATATCATTATAATTAATTATTATTATTATTACCAGTTGACAGATGGGTCTTAGTGATCCATTGGCTATTTTAATTTCACATAAACTGGCTAGTACTGAAACAGGAACTAGACATCCCTCGGTGAGTGGGGTATACCTCTTCACTGTCTCATGAAGACAGGACAGAACTGGAGAAAAGACCTACAGTACATGTACAATGTACAGATACAATAAATTTTATAATTTTCTTTAAATTCACAAATACATGAACATGCATAATCACAACAAACCTTTTTCAAAGTTTCTCCAGAAGGTTCTTCGTTATGACAAAACAAAACCAACTCAGACAACAAGTCCAACGGCATACAACTGGAGGGGTGACACAGGAGGTGTGGCATCAGGGCAGAGCTACATTGCAAAAATAAATAAAATAATGAAATTAATAATAATTATACTTGTTAGTGTCTTTTGAGTCCGTGTCAAAGTTTCCACAAAGAACTGACGATAGGAAAGAAGTGATCATCCCCTTACAAATAAAGATGACTTCTCCTCTTAGACTAGTTTTATCCTAAAGCATTCGTGTAAATGACATGTGTATCAATAATAATAATAATAATAATAATAATAATAATAATAATAATAATAATAATGATAATAATAATAATAATAATAATGATGATGATGATAATCACTAGTAGATCTAGAGGGAGTTTAGGAGACTTTTGGTCTCTCATATTTAGCCCAAGGCCTCCTTAAATCTCCTATTTTTAGTTATAGATTAGTCTCTCAAAATTTATTCCTATATCTAACAGTGATAATAAGTCACCTTGATGTGTCTATCTTCAAGTATAAGTCTGTTATAACTTTCAATTAAATAAGACACCATTTCCTTCCGTTTAGAGGAGGCGTGGTCATGAGTAGGTGTGGCTTGATGAAACAGAAAAAGCCGTTCCATCAATAGCTGAGATACCAAATCAGAATAATCAACAAACGCTAAAACAAATAAATAAATAAATGAATGAATAAATAAATAAATATTTATTAACCTGTATCTCCGTTATTCTCGATGTTTCCTCTCAAAGAATTCAGTTCAACTATTTCTCTCTCATCAACACTTACAGGCTAAAATGAACACTATAAACCACACCCCCTGACCAAACCCACTCACTGTGTAATAGACTCTGAATACTCTAGAGAGCAGAGAATGGGGCGGGGCTGACTGAAGTGAGGTAGGGGGTGTGTCATAGGAAGATAATTCCATTGGCTCAACTGAAGAACTGGGTGTGGCCAGAATATCGCTTGATAAAGAATCCTATGTTCATGTAATGGGCATGGCAATAGCTAGTTAAACCACACCCACAAACACATACTTTTAAAGGTGAAGTGGGAGAGGTTACAGTGACTTGCGATCCTTTAGAGGGGGAGGGGGAGGGAGTGCGAGCTGATGGTTGAGTACCAGAAACTGATAACTGGTTAGGACGCTGTAACCTTTCCAACCGCCTCCTTCTCATCTGAGAGTAGGGGAAAGGGAGAGATTTACACAAAGTAATGATTATATAGTTATTTTATAAAATACATGAAAATATAAATATATATTGTAGATGTACATGTACACATATTCTCACCTCATCCCTGGATAATTCCTCAGATTGTTCAGAACTCATGTCTCCTTCAATTTAAAAGAAATCACCTCCCTAAGAAAACAGTTACAATAATAATAATGATAATAATAATAATAATACAGAGAATACTCTGGATTCTATATATACAACACTTCAAGACCACATCATCACTAAAAGCAGGTGTGGTCGTCCCGCCCTAGGACAACACCTTTCTTTCTCTAGATAAAATGTCTGCTGGTTCTCTATCTGTTGGTTCTGTGGCTAAAGGACAGCAATATGAGTTCCTTCTTTATGGAAGCATAACAGAAGCTAACTTACCAACCCTCCTTCACCGTTTAAGAGGTCTCTGTGACTATACCACTAGCAGCAGCTCTAGAGGAGGTGGAGGAGGGAGAGAGGGAGGGAGGGAAGGAGTAGGACTGACCACTTTCACTGATAGAGAGATCACAATGAAGATTGGTTAGCTGTGGGGGGCGTGGTCACGCGAAATTTGAATCAATTAATTAAAACTATTAATTAAAAGTTATTAAAAATTAATTATTAATAGTATTATTATTATTATTATTATTATTATTATTTTAGATTCTCAGAATACCTCAAGACTGCATGTAAGACAATCGCTCGATCTTCCCAACGCTCCACTGTAAGTAATTAATGCATTAATTGAGGGGTGTGGCTGATTAATATTCATAGCTTGCAACATTTTGTACATTTAGAATACTCTCGTATCATGGACAATTAGAAATCAGTGACCCAAACAGGCCTACAGCTGTTAGGACGTGCGTCCATGCTGGCTGCAGTCATAACCTGGTGGAGTATCTTAGAGAAATAGGATTTGTGTACGTATCATAGAGAGAGAGAGAGAGGGAAGGGGAGGGGGGGGGGGCTGGAAGAGATCATGGTGTAGAAGATATGGGTGAGATATTGTTAGGGGGAGGAAAAGAGAAGGAAAAAGGGAACATTATGTGAAGTACATGGGAATGGAATTTTGGGAGGGAAGTGTTAATGATTGTAGCCAAAACAAATCACTCAGAGATAAGCTGTGTGGCCTGCTACTGCATGGCCTCAGGCATCATGAACAACCTTTTATTGTCTTCCTCTCCCTCTCTCTTCCTCTCTCTCTCTCCCTCTCTCTCTCCCCTAGGCCTGTGTATGAGTTCTTCATGAAAGGGTTTCTATTTAAAAAAGGTCCAATGAAGATCCTTGTCTTCCAGTTACTACAGGTATATTAATAATTACCATGGCAACAAACGTTCTATTGGTTAATGCAGCTGAAAATTTGTGCCAATTTTACTTGTAAAATGTTAATGTAAAATATTATCAAGTTATTAATTAGCATATAAATATAAATAAATAATTATTAAATATTAATTTTTGTGATGTTGATCATGGCTGTCTGCCTGACTCCCTTTTGCTACTCCATTTAATTACTACAATTTGTTTGCAAACCACCTTCTCTTTGATGATCGGCACTAAACCTTATGAATTATTATTAATCATGTACAGTAGTACGACACTTTGTAGTAACACTTGATTAACATTCCTGGAATTCCTAACATATTTTTAGTTACGTATTTTTTCAAAACTGCTACATGATTACATCTCTCTAGTGATTTGAGGCCACACTCCTCTTATCCTATAAGTATTGATTGACACATGATTTAAGACATACTTTACACATCTTCTCCCTTTTCTCACCATTTTGTACTTCCTGGCAACTGTCATAACTATTATGATTGTTATTATTATTATCTCCATGCGTCAAGAATGTGTGTTAATTATGAAGAACTGGTCCGTTTCTCTAACATATCTTACTTCAACTTTAAACAATGACATCACTCCATCATCCTAATAGTAATAATCATGGCTCCTCATCAACTCCTCCTTTGATGGTTGCTAAAGCCACTGGTTGCCCTGGTAACTGTTGCCAAGGCTGTAAGTACCGTACTACTGTCATGTCTTAAATTGTGTCATTTTGTTAATGACTGTTATACTGTCGGCCCTGTACTCTTGGTAATTGTGTATTGAATACAAAGTCATGGATCTCTTTGATGTTCAGGTACATTGTATGCAAACTTTTCCTTCTAGTTTGACTTGAATGATAATCAACGCTTTCAGATAAACCTTTGAGACAGACAATTAACACAATATAGCAATAAAATAATAATAATAATAATAACAATAATAATAGAACAATGGGAACAATAATAAAGCATAGTATTGTTTAATGGAACATTAATGACTGTGTACAAACTACCCCTCCTCCCTTTCTCATTATAACTTATAGTGTCCATCAGTACTAATCACATTCTTTGCTGTATTATCTTATTGGTTTTATAATGTTGTTTGTTCATCCACACAGAGAGCCAGTCACATTGTTACAGTGTCTATTATTAGCTTGTGATGTTATACTGTTGTACTTGAAGCTGCCAAATTTGATAATAAAGGAATGGTCTATGTCACTCATTAAGGAGAGTAGAAGCTGACAAAATATGACCACAAGATAGCTAACTGGGCCATTTTTACTATACAGCCATGACCTAATGGTTGTTTTTGCTGGGAAAAGGGAAAACTTGATAATGTGAAGATAAATATTGTATAGTATTTCAGTAGAAAGTAGTCCAGTAATGAGACAATTAGTCTCCCCCTCTCTCTTTATTTCAAATCTATGTGTACATGTACATGTACATGTACATATACATCTATGTTTACATGTACAAGTATTAGGTGTATGTATGGGAATTTGGAACTAGTTTGTATCAGTTTAGGAGATGATGTTTATGAGTGCATGTCTTCTTGTTTATTAATTTCTACTATATGCTGTGAGCTTAATTTGTCTAAGAATTGATTTTTAAACTAAAATACATTAGTACATATTCTGATCTTTATACATGACATGTTGTGTCACCCACTCAAGTTCAGTGACCCACCTTGAACTTTTATTAACGATAAGACTAAATATAATTAAAATACAATTTAATAATAATAATAATAATAATAAAGCAATTATTTGGACGCATACATGTAAATGATACCATTAATAACTACTTGATAACCAGTCTACCTTGTAAACATACAGAGGAGTCACTAATCTGACAATGACACTTTCCATTTCTTGAAAATATTGTAACTATTACCATGATATCACTTGGCACTCTCTTTCCTATTACTTGTGTATATCTATTTATAGTGTGACCTCATCATCAGTCATCATCATAGTAACAGGAACTGTTGATTGTACATTATCAGTATATAGTATAATCTACTGGAGGACATTTCCTGAGTTTGTTGACACAAGGTGTAATGTCACTCTTAGCAACCATAGCAGTTGCTCTAGGCAACAAAACAGTCACTCATAACTTTGCTTTAATGATCATAGACTAGCTGGAAGTCAATGTTGAATGTTATCTCTTAGTGATATAACCAATGTCATGATCAGAATCAGCAAACGTTGATTTAAATTGGTATCTTTGCTTGATTCATTGAAGATTCTTAGGCTCTATGGCAGCTGTGGTGTATATTTAAAGTGTTAAAGTGTTGATACATTGAAATACATTGCCACCTGCTACAGACACAGAGCACCTGCTGTGGTTGACAAAATACACTAATTACCGTCTGTCTTTTAATAATTATTTTTATTGTCTAATATCATGTAATATGTCATTTATTTGAATGGTAGTGTGATTTGACATTGTGATTCAATATGGTATCAGAAAATATATTTGAAATAAAATTAGGCTGGTCTGCCAAAGCTACGTAGATACATATGTGACATGATCACACACAAACACACAATATTTCAATTAGACAGCCTTGACAGGTACAGACTGTCTGTTGCTGGTGGAATAGACTGGACTGTCTGAACGTGACTTATGTCTTCAATAATGCAGAGTCCATTAGACCATGTAATAGTAAAAATTATTGGCATGATTGTGGTTGGAATTCCAGCTGTCACTTGTCTACTCAACCTTAGCCATTCTTGTACTTTACGTAAATAAATAAGAGAAGATGTGGCCATCATGTGGGTGGTATCGTGTTCCATTAATGGTAATAAAAGCCCTTGTGTATATGCAGCTGTACTAAACAGGAGGTTATTTGTTTATGGAGTGAAGGGTTCAGATAGTTCCGTATTTAAACTAATTATGGTGTTGATGTGGTTCATGATCTCATCAGTAGCCCTCTTTGTTGTTTATTATTACAATTGTTTATCTTTTGTTTATCTTTGTTTTAATCTTTGTTTATGCTCTAGAGTGATCAAGGTGATGTTGAAAGTGCTCAACTTGTCGCTCCTAATTATTTAATTGAAATGTCAGCTGTTGCTGCCTCCGGTCAAGATGCTGTTGGTTTGGAAATGAAAAACATGGCGGAGCACCTTAAATCGTATCCTTTAAAAATCTTTCCTTCTCTTTTTTCCTCCCTCTCTCTCTCTCTCTACACTTTCTTCCCACAGTCCTCTCTCTCTCTTTCCCAAATATAAATCGTTATTGTTAAGTTTCTAACATTACACATACACCATTGGGCCCACACTACCTGTCCTTAATACATGTACAGTGTAGCCTCTTTATTAAGGACACCATTGGGCCCACACTACCTGTCCTTAATACATGTACAGTGTAGCCTCTTTATTAAGGACACCATTGGGCCCACACTACCTGTCCTTAATACATGTACAGTGTAGCCTCTTTATTAAGGACACCATTGGGCCCACACTACCTGTCCTTAATACATGTACAGTGTAGCCTCTTTATTAAGGACACCATTGGGCCCACACTACCTGTCCTTAATACATGTACAGTGTAGCCTCTTTATTAAGGACACCATTGGGCCCACACTACCTGTCCTTAATACATGTACAGTGTAGCCTCTTTATTAAGGACACCATTGGGCCCACACTACCTGTCCTTAATACATGTACAGTGTAGCCTCTTTATTAAGGACACCATTGGGCCCACACTACCTGTCCTTAATACATGTACAGTGTAGCCTCTTTATTAAGGACACCATTGGGCCCACACTACCTGTCCTTAATACAGAGGTGTCCTCATTTCAGAGGTACTTTAGTATATGGACATTACAAAATGTCCATATAGTGTCCATAAAATAATCAAGTGCATTCCATCTTTCATATTTGCATCATTCTATTCACATGTGTGGTCATCTATTTGGTATATTCTTGTGTCATTTTGAAATATGCTTTATGGCTAATGACGTAACCCAGCTGCTTGACATTTTTTGATATAAACATTGAGCCAAACACACTCCTTAATAAGGATACAACACCTCATCACTACTGCATGTAGGGCCATTTTATACTTTACGAGTATAAGCCTCTTATGTTTAGATTAAAGGCAGCTGTATTGGTTATATTTTGGTAATAATGAACTTAAAATGTCCAAAACTTAAGTGAAGATTGGGTCTAATTTGATAAGAACATGTTTATGTATCAGGAAATGTGATAAAAATTAAGAATTCTCTCCAGTGATTTTTGGTGAAATTTGGCTCTAGACCATGTACTATAGTACAGGGACTTTGACCTGATTTTGGAGCAACTTCAAAAATTTGTAACAAATCTAATTTTGTTGAGAATCAGCTCAAACTTTCTACACAACATAAGAACATGTATATGTATCAGGGAATGTTATAAAAATTGAGAATTCTTTACTTTTTATTTTTGGCAAAATTTGACCAAAGTCCCTGTACTACAGCACAGGGTCTTTGGCCCAATTTTCTAACTCTTAAAAAATTTGTAAAGAATCTAAATTTGAGTATCTAGGCAACATAAGCACATGTGAAAATTCAATTAATTATCTCTTAACACTTTGTACTACACAAGGAAAAGGTTACTAATGGTGTTTCAGTTACTCTAACTTGTTGCGTCACAAACATTGATATTAATATTAATATTAACATTAACTTGTTAATACTGTGATGTAAGTATGAGTCAGTGCTGTGTACTGCAGTGATGTTAACAGGCAGTGCAGCTAAGAGTACCCCATCATGTCCTGGTGTATATAAATATCCTCATCCTTTCCTTCCTCTCCTTATAATAACTTTCCATATTTTAAAATATCAATTTTATCAAGTACGACAAGTAGACTCATGCACTATTAATTTACTAATTTCATTTGTTTCTGTACACTTTATTACTTAATCTGTGAACATGTTAGCTTACATTAAGTGTGTGCGTGTACATGCAGCCTTAAACATCGGTCCTAGCAGCTGGGTTAAAGGGATTCTGTTTAAAATTTAAAACTGAATTAATAACGCATGCACTTACCAAGTTGAGTCTTGCCTGTCCTTAGCTGCATTCCATTTTAATGCTAATTTGTAGCTGCCGTCTTCTTCAAGGGGAATTTGTAGCTCTTGCTTGTCCATTTGTACCTTTCATAGCATAAATATGAAGTGTCACTTCTCTTCTATAGTAGTCTATATTTTCCTTAATTTCTTTCCACTAGTATTGTTATAATGGACAAAACTGATGGTATCAGTGTCAGATAGAATGTTTATCATTATTATTATTATTGTTAGTATTATTATTATTATTATTATTAATATCAATTCATCATTACTGAATTCATTGTTGTTGTACAATTAATTGAATTAAATGCATGCACTAAATATTTGGGGGTGTGGCTGGGGCTGCGAATATAAAAGACTCCATCTATCTTCTTTCGCCAATTTCAAGTAATTGTTAGCTGCAAGCAAGCAAGTCTCTATCATTTGTTGAAAAAAAAGCAAAAGAGCTTCTCCCTACCTTTGAAAAGATGAACACTCTCCTTGGTGAACTAGGTAAGTCTGCTGTAATGCCACGTGCCATAATGCTAACTGTACAACCTTCTCTATTCCCATCACTGCAGCAACTTACAATGACATCAGATTCCCTCGCTACAGACTCTGTTTCAAACTGAGGCGCCTCCAGACATGCTTCCTCCTCCACAGGCTCGAGTTAAGCAACCTCCAGGACATCTTCCACTCAACGGGCCTCCAGCCATTACCAGTCGACAATGAAGTGACCGAGTCCCAGCTCTCTCTCATTATGGAGGAGATATATGCTGCTTTGAAGAACAACCTCCCAAAATACAATCCTTCTAGTCTACAAGAGGCGCACACCACTTGCTTCAATTGGTTCATGATGGCTCTTCAGTGGTAAGACAAGATCTTGCAACATAACTGCCCTTATATTTTATTCTTTACCTTTTAGTGGCACTCCAGACAGCCGGGGAACTGTTGGTGTCCTCAAGATTATCCTGTGCCTTTTCTGTGGAGGGAAAATATCTGATAAAGCAAAATGTAAGAGAAAAGAGAGAGAATCATGTTTACTTGTAATCCTCCTCCATTAGACATGTTTGGAATTTTGGCTCGCAATGGCACAGTTGGTCTTGATGGATTGCAATTCTTTTGTGAGTCCATGCAGCTGGTAAGTGAAACAATCTTCCCGCTAATTACATTTAAAACCTCTCTCTCTCTCTCTCTTTATTGCAGTTGGCTAATTTTCTTCAAGAGATCCTTTATCCTGACGTCACTTCGGTTGATCGTGCGATGTCCGAGTGTTTATTCTATGTCCGTAACCAAGATGACATTCAAGATGAGGAGGAAGATGGTGGGCTGCAGAGACCATGGCTGTCTCTTTTGGAGCTAGTCAAGGCATTCACTGCCTCTCCTCCATTGAACTTCCTCTCATGGCTACACCTCTGGACCACTCTCCCTTCAATAGAGAAAGGTTAGCATTGAGGGGGTGGCAGTTTAAAGTGGGTGATTTGTTTATTATTTAATATTTTGTTTATTATAAGAGGCAGTGTTGCATTAAAACATTTATGCTATACAAACACACAGAGTTCACTAAAACTAGCAGGCAGGCACACACACACACATACACACACATACATGTATAATGTACATTCCTTCAACCAGAACATTAATCTTATTGTAACTCCAGCACAATTATAATCTTGTTCCCCTTGTAATGTGTAGAGCATACTCTCTTCCTCTATTAGTAGCATTACATACTATGTCTTCCTCTCTCTCCCTTTGTAGTAATTCACCAGGTCAAGTGCAGTATTTGTAGCAAGAAGACAATCAAAGGCTACAGATACCAATGTGAAGAATGCTCCAATTACAATATGTGTCAGGTAAGCTAATTATAAATGTACTGTAAGACTAATTGGAGGGATTTCTATAGTAATACCACCTGCTCTGTCACTTCATTATTATATTAATATCCCAATGAGTATATATATGCTTTAATCCTTGTTGTTTTGTTGTTGTTGTTGCCAACTAGTGGTTGGTACAATATTATTATGGCTTCTTTACTCCCATTGAACTATCCAATGGTGAGAGAGCAGGAGTATTACTGTTAATGGTGGGGTAGGTCTAGTTGGTATTGCTTTACCACAAAGCCCACCCATTGACCTCTTTATTTACAATTTGTTATCACAATCCTAACCTCTCCTCCCTCCCTCTCTCTTTCTAGATATGCTTTTTAAAGGGACGCACTTCTGATGGCCACAAACTCGAGCACAGAGTCTACGAGTGCCAGGACTACAATAAAAGCTTTAAAAGTCGTATGGGTTTTTCCTCCTCAGTTAACAGCAAGGTGTTTCGTATCATGGATGAGCCGGCTGAGACCTCAACTAAACTCCGCCTACGAAGCAAAGACCTTATTGACTACAGTAGCAGCAGCTCTTTGAACAGGCGCTCCGCTAGTTTACTGGAGAGCCCAATGCATGGGAGGAGGTAAGGCACTAAAATAACAGTTTATTATTATCATGAAATGTTATTTATTATTGTAATGCTTGATAGTCAAAGTTGCCTAGTAAAATCAACTTTTGATCATTAAAGTCTGAAATTGAAAGCATATTGCTTTAAAAACACACACAGCAATTCTAGACTGTTAGCACTAGTCTTGATCCACATAAAAAGAATATAGTCTTGTCTTCAAACAAACTAAGAATTGACTGATGCATCAGACAGTGAATGACATAAGTATAGTCATGAACATATTCCTCTGTTGTGTGATTCCTTGTTGTCTCAGTGTGTGTGTGTATATTGTCCATGATACATATTGTTAACAAGAAGACAAGCATATTTACAATCTGTCATGTCATAATTTCTCCTCTCTCTCTCTCCTTTATTAGCAGCCCATCCGTTACACCAGAACCAGTACATAGACCCACTGTCATTCGTATTGGCAGCAAAGACTCTCTCTCAAGCCCGAGACGTGACCATCAGACCAACTCCACTCGCCGCTTGTCCTACGAGAGCACCAGTAGCTCCGAGGGTGATGGGCATGGTCTCGAGGGTGCCAGTAGTCCGGTGATCGATGGAGGATTACGTAAACCTAGTCCAATCATCCCAAGCATAAGGAGAGCTACTCATGCCGGAGGATTCGCCACTTTACCCCACCGCTCCCTCCAGAGGATCGCTGATGAGGAACTGGGTACCAGTCATGGTAGGCGGAGTCTTGATATCAACACGCATACTTTCCCACGGTCTGGACTTGGTATGGCCAAGACCTGCTCTGCCGGTCATATCTTGGACAAGAGAGAACAGGATGAATTTAACATGATTAACAAGTAAGGATATAGCTCCCCTCTCTTTATTTCATGTACGTTATCGTGTGTGACTTAAACCCTTTGAGATGCACCTGTGAATGAACTTCACAGGTACTTCTTGACACAATACAGAAGCCTTTGGTCTTATGTAAACACAGTCCACACCTATCCATGTGTCACAAATATTTAAATACTTTTAAACAATTCACAGAAGAACCACTATGCATGCAGTATCTCTTCACTTAGTAAGAAAATCATCAAAATTCAAAATATTCCTAGCAGAAACTCCAACTACTTGTACATGTACTTGCATTCCATTGATACAGCTATAGTGATATGTGCATGCCTTAATTCTACTAATTTCCTTTTAATTAATGATGTATCTCTTAAAGAATGTGCACTGTTAGTGTTGTGGAGCATTGGAATCCAAAACACTGAAATATGATAGGAAACAATACACCTGCTACTGTGACAAAAGGGGTGGAAGTAACCGCCAAAACTAGGACACACACAGTATAGGTCATTGCTTATAGAATAACTGTTAAATATCTGTGGTAGTAATAATAATAACAATAAAGTTTATTATAGATAAGTAAACAACAGTTTCTAATTACAAGCATGTGATAAAAGCAAGCTGCATTCCACTAATTAATCAAAAATTTCAAAATAAAAAAAGAAATTTTAGCTTAATTGACTGTTAATAATTCATCATGAGCTTATAAACCTTAACAAAAGACATCTTTATTTGGAGATATACCTAATGTTCCAGTAGCAGCTGCATACACTCCCACTTGACGTGTTTGTGTGAAAACAATCTGAACTGACACATGTATAACACCAAGTTAACACTCTGCTACAATGCAATACAATGACATACTGACACTTTGTTAACAAGTACTTAACTTGTTTCTTCTCTCTCTTCTCAGGAAACTAAGTCTAGAAGTCGACCAGTTGCTACAAGACATCGAACCAGACCTTAGGGACGGAGCTACTAAAATGAGTTTCAGCTCTGATGGAGGAAGCACGAGAGACAGTATCACGATACTCAACGAACTGGGACTGGAGGATTATGACACTGATTCAAATCGAATCGACGAAGCCACACAAAAGAAGCAACACTTAAGCATGGAGCTGGACAGTCTTCTTGGACGTGTTAATCGGCTCCACTCTGGGTTCATGGGTCTTAAGGATGGGAACCGAGTCTCTCCTCTACTCCAGCACAGCGTCATTAACACTGATGGACACCAGAGGACTGGTAGCCTGGATTTAAAAGTAGTTGTGACTCCGCCCACTAAAGACGGCTATCTCTCAACGGGTGCTGATAATAGTGGTCAGCGACTGTCAGTAGTATGGTAAAATAATTTGATTAATTGGAGAAATTATGGCAATTTATACTACGTATTCGCAATTAAACTCTCTCTCTCTCAATCTAATTCATCATAATAAACAATTCCTCTGTTGTTATTATACTGATTTCCTCTTGTTGTGTCACATGCACCTGTCGCCACCTGTATCTTTCCCTCCTTTTTTCTATAATGTATAATGCTACATTTTATTTGTTGCATGATTATTACTATTTTAATCTTTTTGTTTCATTTTTAATCATCAAAGTAATCTCCTGTTCTGCAGTCAACACACGTACCTGTCCAGCTGTTAGCCAAAAACACAAAGTGACATTTACCTCCAGGCTGGCAGTGAAGAGATACTATCATACATTTAGTATATACATTATTATCTAGTGAAGAAGTGTTGGATAATGTAATCCAATAGGTAACATGATACCCTTTGTAACATACACATCATGTAGTAAGGTACATCTACCCATCATGTACTCTTGGTAAGACAAAAGAGGCTTGGATATGCCCAGTCTTCCATTAACACTCACACAGTGATAATTGGGTAGATGAAACTGTACAAAGAAGGATTGTACCATAGAACAAAGGATCATATACATGTACAGACTAGCCTCTATATAATAGACATGCACTTGATACAAGAAGTGTCTCTGTTATACAGAGGTGTCCTTTATGTGGAGGTTAGTAAGAAATGTAATTGGTACACTAGGTGCTGTCCGTTAAGAGAGGCTATATTGCATTATAATAATTAGACTAAAGTGACACTAAGACAGCATCCATTGTACATTATCAAATCCTATATGAACTAATTAACATTCATTACCATTTCCAGTATAAACATGAAGGCTCACCCCACAACAGCTGCAATCCGAAATATGATAATTTAAATAAACACACACTTGATAAACACACCAATTCCATTCTAATACCTTTATATCTTTCCTTAACGGACACTCTCTATAGCGTATACCTCCATTTAATGGACAGCACCTAGTGTACCAGTTACATTCCTTACTGTATAAAATAACCTCCACATAAAGGACACCTCTTTTTTTGTACTATTACATAGAAGCTACACTACATGTATATTTATAGTCTAAATTATTACCAAATGCCAATAAAACCACAATTGACACGCAATTACTTCTACTCTATTCATGTAATTAAAAAATAAGAGACAGAATGAAAGGATCATTAAAGCAGCCCCTCCTATCATTATTGTATATTTATTATGACTCCTGGTGGTATGTGGGTTGAGATCTCTATTGTTGTCTTCTCCATTAGTTACCATGGTAATGACACAGGACCATTATCATAATAAAGAGTTGTCTTATGAATTAATGAACACTATAATGGCTGATAAGGACCAATGCTATACAACGTTACTTTAATGAATACGTTTATGTTGTACGTGAGTAATAATGGAACATGTTTTTAATTTAAAATTTTAAAATGTGAACGTCCTTGGCCATCATCTCCAACGGGCAATAGGGACACTTTAATCTGCAGAAATAAAAGAGAAAAAGAGAGAGTCCAACTCAACTCTTAATGAATACACACTAAACAGAAACAATATTCTGTACATGTATACGCTACCTTCCAGAGTGTCCCACTAGTTTCTTCATTGCATCTCTGGATATGGCGTGACCACAGTTCAGTCTCACTGGCGGATTAGACTCTACACATACAAAAAACCTAACCACACCTGCAACCATACCCATGGCTCACCTGAAGTTTGCTGGCGCAAGATCGGACATGTGAATATCGAGTGGTAGCGATATCGCCATGGTAACTGTATCTCACAGGGTAATTCGTCGCGGCCTGAGAGTACGTCAGCCATTTGCCGTTGAATCATAACAGACTGGAGGTGGAGCAGCTGAGGAAGAGCAGCTGAACCTATCGCTAGAGACACTGCCAATGGACTCTCTAAAGAAAGACCTAATAGATAACAAGCATCCCTAGAATGATAATAAATAATAATAACAATAATAATAATAATAATTGTTTGATCTAGAAATAAATTTTGAGAGACCAATCTATAACTAAAAATAGGAGACTTAAGGAGACTTAGGCTAAACATGAGAGGCTAAAAGTCTCCTAAACTCCCTCTAGATCTAACAGTGTTCATTGCACCTGGTGAAAGTATCAATAATGTCGCTCCAGTGCCAGGGGTCGAGGAGATCGGAGTAAGGGCTTGACTCTAAACCTCGTCTTATGAATAACAGACAACCCATTAACCGCTGGATCTCTGGGGGGAGAGAGAGAGAGAGAGAGAGAGAGAGAGAGAGATAGAGAGAAAGAGGGTGGGGGAGTAGAAAAACAAACTTGTGTATACATGCTCATCATAACAATCAACCTTAATTAGTTTATAACACGTAATTAACACACAAACTCATTGTATCAATAGCTTTTACAGTTAATGTAAATTTGATGTGTTACGAGAGAGAGGGAGGGAAGAAGTAACAGGTAATCAATTAGCAGCTGTAAATACAAAATGGAGACATTTTTGACATTTTTTTCACAAGGAGAAGTATTCACACCTCTGACCACAAAGATATGCTCCCACAGACAAGGAAATACAGCAACAATAGAAGTACATGTACATGTATGTGTATGTAGGGGTTAAATATAATGTACATTGTGTGGGTTAACATTGGTTTGTCATCATTTGTATAGTAATTGCTTAATTTATGGGTTGGTCACTTTCACATACCGAAACCCTAGCAATTAACTCAATTAGAATTATCCGATTAGCAACACAAGTATGGCTTTATGTGGTCGGTGATATAAGTAGGGACTGGCATTCAGAAATAATCATAGTAACACATTAATACAGTTTGTATACATGTATGTGTACATGTATATGTACATTAGTGTAGTAGTAAAATTATGTCATAGTATAGGACTACAGGCTCCAGAGAGTCGGTGCTACTCCTTTTATCAATAATAATAATAATAATAATGGACAGTGTATTGAGTGTGCGGGTGTGCTATTGTGTTTGTAAACAGAGTATGTAGGAAATGACTGACATCATTATGACAGAGAGAGAGAGGGAGAGAGGAGGTTGGTGTACATGTACATGTAGGGTATATTCAGTGAGTAGTGTCTCTATGATACAAGGAGGTTAACATGAAATATTTACTACATCATTTATTGTTATTTCAGGGGCTACGCGTACATAATAAACAGGAAATGCCTGTATATTTAAATACCCACTCAGTATATTCCCTCAGTAAATCCCCTCAGTATACTAACCCTTGTTATGCAGTGGTGAGAAGTCTCCTAGTTCTTTAGCGTATGAAAGTGCCTCGTTTATTTGACCGAGTGAAAGGAGGAGCAAATATTTTCTTTGTTTGAGTTTGAATTCAAGAGAACTGCCATGGCGCAATAACTCATCTCTGTGGCCTTCAACCCACCTGGAAATGAAACACAATTATACAATATGTACAAAACTTAATATTGGCCTAAATTTAGATTCCCTGATACATATACATGTTCTCTTATGTTGTGTAGAAAGTTTGAGCTGATTCTGATCAAAATTGGATTTTTTACGAATTTTTAAAGTTACTCCAAAATCGGGTAAAAGTCCCTGTACTATAGTACATGGTCTCGGGCCAAATTTTGCCAAAAATGAAAAGTAGAGAATTCTCAATTTTTATAACATTCCCTGATACATATACATGTTCTTATGTTGTGTAGAAAGTTTGAGCTCATTCCGATCAAAATTAGATTTTTTTACAAAATATTAAAATTGTTCTAAATTCAGACCAAAGACCAATAATGCTATACATATACATGTATGTCTTTACGACATTAAATTCAGAGTACATGTAAACACAATGACAAGACAATTAACAGCAAATACATTAATACTTTATCTAATATAGTATTAACAAATCAAAGAATAACGGATACTCACGAACATAAACAGCACTGGCTTCATTAAGCTGATACCAGCATACTACCAGTACAGTGTCAGCAGAAGCACATGTAAACAAGAGGTCAGTCAAAGAATAGTGACACTTTGAACTATTTTTCAAACAACTTTTTTTGTCCGTGAGTGTGTGAGTGTATCAGTTCTAGTGTTTTGAATTATGTTAAAGGTTAATTTGGCTCCAGTTCTAGTAATTTCATATTAAAAGGAATTATTGATGATGTCATTTCGTATCACTTTATTATGGATTCCCTTTAAGTCAAATACAACGTAGGAGTAAAGTCTTGGTGCAAATTACATTCTACTTAACCACACCCACTAATTACCTCAGAGCTGGATCGACGTCTCTGTTCCTCAGCGCCTGCACAATGTAGTGTATGTCTTTAAATAAAGTCATGAAACTCTCCTCATGTGAGAGACCAGCTTCCTACAGTACAATAATAATAATAAATTAATAATAAGTTAATTAATAATAATTAATAATAAGTTAATTAATAATAATAAATAAGTTAATTGATAATAGTTAATTACTTTTAATAATGTTTCTGCCACATCCATTCTTCCTTCTCTCAGTAAGTGCTCATAAATGGCTCTACTAAGAGACGCCTTGTTCTGCTGAGCTGTAATACTGGAACTAACACTTTTACTGTCTTGCATGAAATACTATCAATAAATAATAATAATGGCTATTTTTAGTAACGTCCCACGCCTACTTTGTCGATAATGCGACCATATTTGGAAATTGAAGCATGCATGTCCTTGTGGGTCTGTGAGACGGACTGTACGTCAGACGTCACTTGAGAAATGAGAGATTTAACTGATTGCACCTCTTCGTCTGTCAGCACTGGTTTCTCTTCTACAAATTATTTAAATTTAAAAGTTAAATTAGTTTAAAAGGAGGCTTGCCATTAGCAAGAGAAGACCTCAGAGATTGGAGAGAGTTTATTGTCTCTTCCATTTTATTTGAGATGGTCTGGGAGGCTGACTGAAGCTTTTGATTCACTTTAGTGTGTTCTTTCTCGACAGCCAAGCACGCCTCCATTTTTTTAGTGGGTGGGGCTTTACTTTAACATATACGATAGTGTACGGAATGCCGGATTCTTTTTTGAATCTTTAGTTCTTTACAGTCACGCCCACTTAATGAAAATTGCAATTAATTTGAATTTTATGCAGAGGAAACTTTACCACAAATAGCCATAAACTATCAATAAACACAAAATCAACAAAAAACATAAACAGAAAGCATCTGCTAACTATACAAAAGACAGAATATCTTTAATAATAAGTGCATTTAATAATAATAAAAACACAGAAATAATTATAAATATTCTTTAATTTTTAGTAGCCAGTGGTTCTGATGGTGGGACGGACACTTTATCAGTTTTATTGAAAAGTTTTTGAGCTGTTTGTCCTCCTCTATCCCTAAACCCAGCTCCTCGCCCCGCCCCCCTGGGACTAGTGGAAAGAATAGGTGTTCTCATTATTTCCTTATTTGGAGATCTCGGGTCAGACCTCACTGGATCCAAGTTCTCAGAGGATGGGTTAGGAGCCACGCCCCTATTACTAACCGACCCATATTTTGGAAAGAACCTCAATGGTGTCCTGTGGAACTTGCTTGATGGGGATCTTGGGTCATTTTCTCCACGGGGCGACCCTCCCTTTAACTCTCTACCTCCTTCTTTACTTTTAGAAGGTGTCTCTGCCTCTCCTGATTCTCCAGACACTTGAGAGCCTACTTGCATTTGCCCCATATTGTTGCTTTTGCTTATCTTCTCCAAAGGTGTGGCTCCTTTCAAAATTCAAATTTCGCACCTTGTAGGCGTGGCTAGTGGTCACCATGGAAACAATCCCTTAATAAACAACTCTGAATAACAGGACGGACTCTCTCTCTCTCTCTTTCTCATTAACACGAGGAGAGAGTAATGCACACCTCTGTATCCGCGTCTCACAGATACACTCCAGACTAACCTCTACTTGCTCTTTGAGGCTTTTGTCTCTTTTCTGCTCTGAATGGCGGCAGCAGTTGAACCAAAGTCACCAAGAGGAGCAGAACTGCCAGTCAGTTTGTCTAATGGCTCCAAACAAGACCAGAGCATGGTCCAGATAGAATCAAAACAGCACAAAGTGAGCTCAAGCTTATCCTTAGTACTAATCAGCAGACATTTGCAATCATTTCTAGGCTGAGGAAATTAATGGAGAAGAAGGCCAGGCCTCAGCTAAAGAGACAGAGACTGCTGACACTAAAGAGAAGGCAAAGCCTCAGATCCCCGGAGGAGGAGTAGCTGCTCTAAGGAAGCCAGGGTGTTGTGTCGGTCCTAGTACAATAACACTGTCAGCTGTTGCTAGCATTCACACTAGTAAAATATCACTGGGAGGTGGAGGAGTAGGGACAGGACGGTACTATACTACTCAAGGAAACAACGCCATTGCAATGTAAGGGAGACATCATAATGTACTGCATGTAGATGTATGTGTGTGGTTAATGATATGCATGATGGTTGTGTGTGGTTAATTGTGTGTGGTCAAAGTTTGCCATAATTATAAATATATATGTAACATTCCATTTTTCAATGCATGTGACTAGTTACAGTACAGGATCTTAGCCTGATTTTTGAACAGCTGTAAAAATTCATTTTTGTTGAATCAGCTCAAACTTTCTGCACAACATAAGAACATGTATAATATATGCATCGGGAAATGTAATGACAATTTTTTATACTTGCAGAGTTGAGAGAATACTAAACAACTGGCAGTGGTCTAAAATTGGTGACAAGCACACGACTAGTTTCACATTAAAATGGGCTGACCTCCGACAGCAAATAGACTATCGTTGTTTCAGAGAAGGTCAGTGACCATAAGTTTAAAAATGTTTAATTCATCTACATAATGCGTGCAATTGCAGGCGAACAAATGGTCAATCATTTTCCAAATATATCAATCCTCACAACTAAAATTGGTCTGCTGGAGTCCATTAGATCAAGCAAACGAAAGCTGCTCTCTCTAAGGCAAGCACAAACAACATTGCTATAATGTTAAAATAACATAAATATAACTATACACTGCAATTTGTTACCAATGACATTTTCCTTTACATTGCAGACTTCCTGTTCACCAGATAATACCTGAGACATATCGCTTGGACATTCAGTCGGAGAGGGAAGAGTTTTTCAAAATTTATGTTGGTATGCTGTTAAAAATCCACAATGCAGTTATAAATTTTTTTTCCTCAATTTTTAGAGGACGAGCTATGGATATGTAAACCAACAGGTGCTAATCAAGGAAAGGGAATATTTTTAGTGAAAAGTTTGCAACAAGTCAAAGACAAGCTAGCATTTGATGAAGCACACTGCCCCGTAACTAGGCACCCAACACAACGAATCATACAAAGGTACTCTCTGTAAAAAGGATTTATCATTATTATTATTATTATTAGGTATATACATAATCCTCTCCTAATTGAAGGACGTAAGTTTGACATCAGAGTCTACATGCTACTCATAGCCGGAGAGAAATCAATATTTGCCTTTTATCGTGAGGGATACATCCGTCTCTCCTGCCTACCTTATGATGACAAGAGTATGGACATGACCATTCACTTAACTAACCAGTACATACAAAAGAAACACCCTCTCTACACTGATGTTAAAGAAGACACTGTAAGATACTGTATACATGGACATAGATACACCACTTTAATTATTAATTTTTATTTATTCTTAAATCGTACAGGTTTGGGATTTTGAGAAATTTCAGAATTATTTAAGTAAAAATGAGAAGCTGCCAGAAGACTATATAGCAACTACACTTACAGTAAGTGTAGCATGATGGTATTTTACTAATAATTATTTGCAATATTTGTACTTTCCTTTAGCGTCAGTTAAGACACTTGATGTTTGGTTGCTATCACAGTGTTTCTCATAAACTGGAGAGAAGAGTTGGTTACTTCGAATTGCTTGGTTTTGATTTTATGCTAGACTCAAACTATCATGTACGTATGATGCTATAATTATGAAAATTTTTCATAATTGATTTTTTTTCTCATGCACTGTACATACATGGCCATATACATGTAGCTGTGGCTAATTGAAGTTAACATCAATCCGGCGTTGCATACAAACTGTGAGACTCTTAAACAGATAATACCCGATGTGATAGAGGAAACATTAGGTTAGAAATCATGATGCATTATGATGTAATTATGATGTAATAATGTAGGTATGGCCGTTGAAGTTTGGAGTAAGAGCAGGAGGTCTCGGCCGGTATTTCCAATTGATGCTCAGAAAAAATTTTATACAATTTTCCCTCCTTGATTTTTATAATTAATAGCAATACTATGATCATTATGTGTGAAATTTTTTAGACTCCCCAAAATTATCATTATTTTATTATTATTTATTGCTGTAATCATTTCCCACAATGCACTCTATTTTTCAAAAATAAACAGCAAAACTCTCTTAACTTCTAAAACTCAATATGCAAAGTAAGGTTGGTGACTATGGAAACTATTTACTAAACTGATAAGCCTTTAGTGGCTTTACTCTAAAATATCTGACCTAAGCTTTCACAGAGGAACAATACTGTTCCTTTACTTTGATTCATGGATTCCTCTTTATTCCTGACACCACAGACCTGGACCTCCTGTCAATGCTTTTCTTCAGCAGCCCCGCCCACCTCATTAGCATTTCCTAGGGGTGTGGCTATAGTCTTTTATGGGGGCGTGGCCACAGATCGACTGATTGGGTGTGGTTATAACTCCACTAGCCCCACCCACTTCTTAATTAATTAATTAACTCTAATTAGATTATTATTGTAATTTTATTAATTGTTTTATTTTTTCTTTTTTATTATTCAAAATTTTAAACCATTGGCTCATTTTACTACTATTCATCCCATTACATGTAATAACAGAAAACATGCAATCAATCCTTACCAGGGTCCAGTCCAGAACAGTCAGCCGGACCTACTAGAGGGGGGGGGTGGAGGGAGAGAGCAGTATATGTGGATTATATTGTACA